AGACGAGGCGTGGGTAATCTTCCATAGTCTTCATAAGGAGTGCATATCAATTTATGTTGTACAGGGAACACTTGGATGGTATAAAGTGAATAACCGGGCAACATTGTACGCTTTGTGGACTACTCACAGAAATGCATATTATGTAAAGAGATATCCTCGCCTGTAGTAGTGTAGATAAAGCTAGCTGCGGGGTGCTGTAACCCTCGCGTGGCTCAGATTACAATATATATATATATGTAGCAATCAACAGTGATACAATGAACGATTATGGTGATAGCCATTGATTGAAACAAAGTCACATGCTGTGAGGCATGGCTCTATTGTCTCAAGATTATTTCTAGCAGATATAGGTATTGGGTGAACATGGATAGCCACCAAGGCCACTCTGAAAATATACATATGATATAGGTATCACAGGATAACACAATCGCCTAGAAAACCGAATATACAGTCCTAAAGCCGAGGGTCACACCGCCCTGAGCAGCGGCTACTGGCTCGTCTATACTTTGTAGTACGAGAAATTTCTCGAAATCTCGAAAAGTGGATTGGAAACGCTCCTAGCTTTGACAGGCGGACCGCATGGACCACACTGTGGATATCTGCGAGTAGTCGACGGGGTGAGCCCTAGGGGGTGGTATGGAAAGCTGCAATATAGATAGTAGAAACAAAGTCTGTATATAACCCTTTTCGAGTCAATCAATGATGTACGGTGTCCGGAGTAAGCCCAAAAACGTTGGCCAGCCTCAATATTGAGGTAAAACACCGAACGGACAAGCCAGGGGGTGGTAATGGTATTTCAATATCAGCCAAGGGACTCCGCCAATAAAATTGGCCAGATATCCATTATTAGCCAATCAAAACCAGGAAAAATTACAGATGGACCTCTAACTGTATCGAAGATACAAGGTTGTACGATGACGGTGCCCCTTTGACCTTTAATCTTCCAAATATGGGAGGCTGTACTCCGTACCTGCAGGCAATATGCAGCTGAGATAACGGGAGTCGAGACATGCTCACCATGACTTCAAACATATGTATGTATGTGTATAGGTGTACTATGTATGTACTGCTAGATGTAGTACTAGTACAATGTACTCGAAATCCCTCCGATACCAATTTCGGTTTGTGTGGGGGAATGGAACATTCATGGGTAGAACAGTTTTGAAATCAATGTTATTATCTTATATTTGATACAACATACAATATACAAAGTAGTCAGAATATTACTTCTTCCAAGATTCCATAATATATTCATTTCAATGGTCAAACAGTCGGTGTATGAGGATGATCGACGGGGCCGAGACTCCACGAGGGGAAAGCTAAAGGGGGGGCTAACGAAATAGGTGGGATCTCTCCTGACTCCCTTTTTTTCTTTTCTCCAGCCTTTTTTTCTTGTGCTGGATACAAGTCTAGAGTCATATCCAGGTCCCACTTCTGCTGGAAGGAATTGGTATTTCTTGAATACTCGGGTGTGCATAGCTATGCAGTTGAAACCAGCCTGAAATAACCCTGCTATCCTCCGATATCAACACCGTCAACATCAATAACGCGTCTACATCCTTCATCCTTCCAATCAAATACTCTATTTTCTATCGCGTCACAATGGAAGGTTCCGAGCCAGCATCTCCCAGCGTCAGTCACGCGCTTAATCATGACTCGATGGTCACCGTCGCGTTATCCGATAACCAGTCCAGTTCAGAGCACACCCAACCGGATTGGCGCACTCTTGACATCCCCCCAACCCCAGTGGAGATGAGCCACCTTGAGAAGGAGAGTGTGGAGTCCTTTGGACCGGTGCCACTACAGGACGCGGCCAGGACCACCCCCACTCCCGAAACCCCAGGCGCAGATAGGGAGGGTCAGACAAGCGAAATGTTTGACAATGAGGTGGATTGGGAGAACCTTGATAAGACAGAAGAGCAAGAACCGCGTGGGGAGGGGTCGGATGAAGTAAGTGTGACAAGCTGCCGCAGAATTCTAGAATGGGTGCTAACATTCTTGACCTAATTTTAGTCTACGGCCCTGCTCCTCGCTCGACTCGAACAAGAAAACAATGCTTTGGCGACCAACCCCAAATCCGGGATACCCGATGTTCCTGATGGCAAGATACACCAGCGGCAGTCCCGCTCTGAGTCACTACACCATATCAAGCGACTCATTAGGGATCCCGCTCGGGCAGAGCTGCGATACTCGCAGTTACCCCCTCCTCCAATGACCGAGTTAGAGTTTTGGGCTGCCCTTGTTGCCGATTACCACCAGACTGCCCAGCGTTTGCCGACATTGACCTCGAATAAGATTCAGGGAGGTGTGCCTCCGCCATTGCGAGGAGTGGTGTGGCCTAGCCTGGCGGGCGCACGCGATCCTAATCTGTTGAATGAATTCCAGAGGCTTTCCGGCGAAAGCAGTCCGTACGATGGGTTGATTGGAAAAGATATTGGTCGCAGCTTTCCCAATGTTGAAATGTTCCGCGACCCGAATGGCGAAGGTCAACAAATGCTCGGCCGAGTGTTACGATGCTTCAGTCTTTATGATACCAAGATTGGCTACTGCCAAGGTCTTGGATTTGTGGTAGGCCCTCTCCTCATGCACATGACAGATGCTGAGGCCTTTTGTGTTCTTGTCCGGTAAGTCTCCTTGGACGATGATATAACTTGCAAAAGTCATACTAATGCATCACGTACCGTAGCCTCATGGATCACTACAACCTCCGAACTTGCTATCTTCCAGACCTCTCGGGTCTCCACCTTCATGTGTATCAGTTCCAAAATCTTCTAGCACGGCACAGGCCGGTCCTGTTCCAACATCTGGAAGCACTGCACGTTGAGCCGGTCTACGTATCGCAGTGGTTCTTATCCTTCTTTGCGGTGGCCTGTCCGCTGCCGATGCTTCTCCGAATTTATGATGTCATCTTTTTGGAAGGCGCATGCGAGACTTTGATGCGAGTTGCACTTTCCCTGATGCAACGCAACGAGAAGAGAATTTTAGCTTGCAGCGAATTTGAGGACGTGATGCAACTGTTATTATCTCGAAGCTTGTGGGACACGTAAGTTTTAGGCATCGCACAACGCAAATCTTGGGAACAAAGAACTCCACTAACCCGTGATATCCAGATATGCCTTCAATGCTGATGATCTCGTCAATGATTTCGTGTCTCTCACCTCTCTCGTGACGAACGAGAGTCTTCAAACCCTTGAAGCCAGCTACAACCAATCTAAAGGCTCACCATCCGGACCCTCCTTCCCGCAGATGCAGGCAACGGCCTCTGGATTCCTTGGGCGGCTATGGGCTGGCTCGTCAAACTCTCACAATTCGGTCAAGTCACTCAATCCGAATACTAGCCCGTCACGTCAGAACAGCACCATTCGTCGCTCTACCTCCAAGCAGAGCCTGACTTCCACTCTCAACTCCATTGAAACTACGTCCGACGCAAGCACTGTTGCTACTGAACTATCAGCGGCTGCAGCTAGTGTGGATAGTCAAAAATCGCGCGTGAAATCCAACATGTCTTCACATCACAAAGACCGCGACCTCCATACCCAAATTGAAGAACTCTTGATGGCTCTCAGTGATCTTCAGCGCCAACAAGCTAACCTCACACGTGAACTGCAGCAGGAGAGGGAGGAACGGGAGGAAGATCATACCCTGGCCAAGGAGATGTTGAACCAAATCAGAGAACAGCCGGCTGAGACACAACCGGCCGAGTTGGTAACGAAAGCCCAAGCACGTTTTGAATCGGTCAAACCGAAGCGTATTTCAATCACTCAGACCAAGCTTCAGCTTAATGACGATGTTACTCGATGGAAGGAAATGCACGAGGTGGAAGCCGGTCGTTGCTTGAACCTCACACGCCGCATCGACGATTTTGAACAGGAGAACTCATCCCTCAAGGAGCAACTACGGGAAGCCCGGGGCCGGATTCAAGACGGCTATCGGGAGCGACAGCGGCTCGAGCGCATGAACCGGGAGCTGCGTACCCTCAAAACTCCTATATCCGAAATACCGCTAGACACAACCGCTTTCTCTGCGGCTGACTCTGGGGAGGGGCAATCTCCCACTAGTGGTCTGCGCGAGTTCAAGCTAGCCCGTACCAACTCCACAAAAAGCCCCACATATAACAGACGGACAAGCAGTCTGGGTCTCCAGAGCGTTTTGTCGACGGAGGGTAACAAACCTGCCGCCGAAGAGGCGTTGCTCATGGAGTTGGTTACCGCTAAGACGGCAGAGGCGGTTGCTAGGCAAGAGCTAGAGGAAGTAAAGGGTAAGTTGGATTCATTCCGAAAAATGATCAAGTCCTCCCAGGGGGCAAATCCTGAAAGCCGCCATTCCTTTGTTGGACTATCGCAGTCGCGGATCAGTTTGGCCAATAAATCCCCCATCGAAGCCCCGAAGACACTTGGAACGCCGCCCAGCAACACTGGCGGCGGGGGATTCTTCAGTGGATGGGGTCGACGAACTGCGACTGACTAATGAAATCCCATCATGATGGGGGTTCTGGAAGAAATACGTGTAACCCTATTGGAATACCTGTTGGATATATGTTTCATATCAAAGTGGGCTGATATTAGAGCGATGAATGTACCCGATCTTGTTGATTTAGTATTTGAGTACATAGCGATATCCCTATCAAGACGAGTACATATTCCGACCTGTTGGATTCTCTAAAAAGTATGGCTACAAAGATCAAGATGAAGATAAACAGCAGATCCGGGGGGATCCGGATCTCCGGGCCACGATAAGAAAATAATTAATTGGGACAGTCCTAAAAACTGCAACAGGAATAATGTTTACAATATACTTTAGTTCATATTCCTCCTTTCCTTTACTGTTTAGTCTCTTGGCTCTCGGAGTCGCTCGGCAGTCTCCATGTAATGTTCTCTCTCTACGATTGGCCGAACACACATGTAGAGGAACCCAAGCCAAGCCACTAGCCCTGGTTCCCAAGAGCTACAAAAACTTGCCAGGCTCCCAGATTAATGTTTGGATTTTGCGTTTGGATTCTAATGGGTTTCCTCGTGCTGCGAAGGGTTTTCGGTTCTTCAAGGCGCCGCTTCGCTATTGCCCTGTGCCTGGTGGTGTTTTTTATTGTTCTCTATTCCAGAGAAGCTCTAGTAGTTCCATTGCGAGTGAAGCTGTCAAAGTAATTGCAGATCCCTCCTTTCTCATTTTACGCCTCTATTGGTCCATTCTGATCTGTATCAGCCCTGCAGAACAACCCGTTGACCCGTTCCCGAGCGATTACGCCGGCCAACCTCGAATTTCGTCTCAAGTGATCAATGACCCCTATCCACACTATGACAGTGTAGAATGGAAGTCGACCTCAAAGGGATCTTACCAACCATGCATTGGACCCCAAGGACGACTCCTGAGCCGCAAAGATGAAGATATGATGATGAGCGGGTTTCACTGGAATACTTCAGGTACGAAGAGGATTATTTCCCAAGGTTAGGAACCGACAGGGAGCTAATCATCAGAGGCTAGAGTTCCCAACACCAATTTTTGGATCGTATGAGTCGTGGAATTTGAGCAAGAGTCTCTGTGCCGATCGCTACTCCCGATATGGTGCATATGGTTACCTTGAGGGCAACGAAACCACTCGACTCCACAATTGGAATGGTACATTTGGCTCCAACGAGGCCGCTGAAATAGACTGGGAGCAGGTGGACTGGGCACATTTGCAATATGAATGCCTGCGGCGCAATAGCGTTCGATATCGCACCCCACCATCCGAAGGGAAGATATTGGCTCTGTACAAGTCACTGGATTCAGATGTCCAGCCTCGTCAGTCTTTGAACGAAACAGACAGGACCCAGCCCCGGACAGCCGTTATATTGCGCTCTTGGATCGGCATGAAATACACCGAGAACGACCTGTATCACATTCGATCTATGATGATGGAGTTGTCACTCTACTCGGGTGCAGAATATGAGCTTATTCTGCTGATTGACTGTCAGGACCAGAAATTGCCCAAAGAGACTGATTATGCCACCTGGAAGGCATTCAATGCGAAACATTTACCACAGGAGTTGCGCAACCTGGCGATATGGTTTAACGCGGATATGTTGAAGGATTGGTATCCTGGGATTGATGTCCATGCGTATGAGTTCGCGGCCTTTAGAGCTAAAGTTTCCTTACTGACATCCTATCAGAGCGATATTGCAGTATTTCCAGCCCACGCAGATCTTCTCAAGACTACACCCTCAGTATGACTACATCTGGCAGTTCGAGATGGACTCGCGGTATACCGGCCATATGTACGACCTTTTGCACAAGGCAACAGAGTTTGCGAAACAGCAGCCACGCAAGTACCTGTGGGAGCGTAACTCTCACTTCTATATTCCTGCTGTCCATGGCACCTGGGAAGAGTTCATGAAGAAGGTGGACCAGGAAATGCCTGGCCATGGCAACCGCAGTGTTTGGGGCCCTCGCCCTGCAAAAGGCATCGACATCGAAGGGCAAGCCATTATGCCTCCTGTGCCACACCCAGAAGATGAGCCAGGGAGCTGGGGTGTGGGTGAAGAAGCTGATCTGATCACCTGGCTGCCCCATTTCAACCCAGTTGGTACGGACTGGCCTTTCCGTGACCGTGTCTTCAATTTCCCCCAAGACCAAGAGACCCCACGCTGGGCAGCTGTCGTGGCAATGTCTCGCATCTCGGCGCGACTTCTCGGGCTATTGCATAAGGACAAGGTAAAATCCGGGGTTGGTCTCGCATCCGAGATGTCCCCTATATCCTGGGCCATGTACTATGGTCTGAAGGCGGTCCAGATTCCTCAACCGGTGTACCATGATGCCAAATGGGACCCTGAGGAATTGAACCGCCGCGCCAACCCAGGTGAACCTGGCAAGGTCAACGCTGGGTTCAACAGCATCTGGAGCTGGGGTCAACATGATGATCTTATATACAATACGACCTTCATGTTTAACTCTGAGTTTGCGGAGAAGCTATACAGAGCCTGGTTGGGCTATGACGGTGCCAAAGAGGTGAGCTTTTGCTCTTGTGATCCTTGACGTATAGGATGGGTGCTAATATTGTGCAGCGGGAGAAGGAAAACCCTCGACTCTGCCTCCCTCCTATCTTTCTACATCCAGTCAAGAACCTCGAGTCCGTAAAGATAAATGGCGTTTGATTCTGTACTCGGTCGAGCGCTTCTAAATGACTTTTTGTTTTTGGTTATGGTCATATATACCCCAATTTCGATAGATTAACATATATAAAAGAGGATCAAATATTAAAGCGAATGCATTTTTCATGTTTGTACTATGGAAAGCCATGTCTACATATGTATGTTTGAATGAACGTTCATGTAAGGCGAGAGAGACATGACTTTCTTGCTTGTCGTTTGCTATGAAGTGACACCACTATAAAAACTCGTACTCGATCTCTCTCTCTCTCTCTCTTTTTCCTTTTTTCTCTCCTCCTCGAGCAAGTTCACTGTTAATTCTCGAAGTCTTTTCTAAACAAGCTCAGTTATCTTTAAAAAGCTCACAACTGGTCATTACACCTTCATTCGAACGAAAATGGCTCCAACCAAATCCACCCCGAAGGCTGGAAAAAGCCCATCCAAGGCAAAGGAACCCAAAGAGTCCGATTTGAAAAAGCATCTCTTGTTCCTGTGGGCCTGCCACAAGCTCTCGGATGTTCAGGTTAGTGTGCTGTTCTCAGCCATCTCACTTGAATCCTCATCTGACCATAAATTGTGCTAACAATATCAACTCCCAGGTTGACATCCCAACCGTCGCCAAACACTTTGGCATCACGAACCATGCCGCTCGAATGAGATTGGAACGTCTGGGGAAGAAGCTTGATAAAATGGAAGCTTCCACCAATTCTACCAAGAGTGATGAAGAAACTCATGTCAAGGACAAGGCTCAGACCAAGAAGCAGACCGAGGTCAATACCGACGAGGGCGATACCATGAGTGATTAAGGGGAGAAACCCGAAGGACAGGCATCTTTGCACATTCAGTGTCTCAACATTTGATGAGATACACAAAGAACATGAAGTTTAGCAGTTCTTTGCAGTTAATTATTTTTATTCTTATGAGCTATGAAGAGATAAAGTGGAAGTAGAGGTTGGTTATCTGAAAGACTGCAACAATATATAATATGAAGTCAGTAAATTCATCAGAATAATAATAAATGCATAAATAACTACTACATATGTAGTAGTACATGTGTTTTGAATTCATTCCCTTTACATTTCTCCCCTTCTCTTCCTCTCCACCTCCCCGATCATCTTTGACAATGGAAAATACAAAGTCCAACGAAGCCCGCGCGCTCCTCTGGGCTTACGAGCTCAACCGGGAAAACAAGCAGTTGTTCAAGGGACTCAAGAAAGTGAATCGGTGTCTCTATGCCTCTCACCCAACCACCTCACCTGGTTGTGCCAACGGTCCACAGCAATGCAATGGGAAAGTGAACCAACAGTCGAAGACTCAAGGATCCCAGTTAACACATAATGGAACAGAGTGATCCCGGGTCATCAGCTTTACTTTGCTTTCGCCAGGAATTATCTTACGACCTTTAGATGCAGGAGGAAGTCACAATGATTGGAGAACATGTCGGAGATGACCCGATGCCGGGATAGAGGGGGACACGTCTCAGATCCAACTCTTCCCTTCTCCATTGGAGCTTTGATTGAGTTCGCACTATTATCTCGAGTGCAAGCAAAGGCAAATACAATGGTCCTCGCACAACCTCCAAACCAGCATGTCATGAAGGCCTTCAACCTCTCAGAAAAAGGTCGCAGCTGTGACTGTTACGGTATCTCCCATCTCCCATTCATCGTAAACGTGTCAAATAACACTCTGTCACAGGAGGCGCACGTGGAATTGGCCTTGAAGTCTCGAAAGCATTGGCCGAAGCCGGTGCAAATGTAAGCCACTCTACCTGATGCTACAAAACAATCAAACTAACAATTTGCAAAGGTCGCCTTGATCTATCACACATCCAATACCGTTGATACAATTTCAGCCGAGATTGCATCTACTAACAATGTACGCGCAGCAGCGTACAAAGCCAATGTGGCCATCCAGTCTGAGATCGAGGCGGTTGTGCAGCAGATTAAGAAGGATTTCGGGAAACTTGATATCATGGTCGTTAACTCTGGGATTGCCTCGAACACTGCCGCCAAGACTGCACCTCCGATCAATGGAGCGAGATCATGAAGGTCAATCGTGATGGTGCTTTCTATTCGGCCCAGGTCGCCGGCCGGATATTCAAGGCACAGGGTCGTGGAAATGTTATCTTCATGGCCTCCTTCAGTGCGACTCTGGTCAATCTCACACAGAAGCAAGCGGCGGTATGTTCTCGATTGAAAATGGTTCTCCCCTCCATGTCGCTCATCCTTGCATAGTACAATGCGTCTAAGGCAGGAGTTGTTCAACTAGCCAAGTGCTTGTCTATCGAGTGGGTTGACTACTGCCGAGTCAACTGCATCTCGCCTGGATACATCGCTACCGAAATTCTGAATACTTTCCCCAAGGAATGGCGCGACAAGTGGTTCGACTTGATTCTTGCCAAGAGAATGGCCGAATCCTATGAGTTCAAAGGGGTAAGATTCCACAGATCCAGTTCCTCTGGAAATCGACTGACAACCCCATCTAAGCCTACGTGTTCTTCGCCTCGGATGCATCTAGTTACATGACGGGTGCGAACCTCGTTATTGATGGAGGATACACTTTGCCTTGGGTTCAGCGAATAATGATCTGCCTCAAGGTTTTGATAGCTCACGGGGCTACTTTATGTGTTGAAGTCAAAGATGTGCGAATGAAAAGAATGTTGCCCAATGTTCATATTCGGCCCTATTAATGGCCAAGCTTTATGAAGTTATGCGTGTAGAATAGTAAGGACAAGCGCGAACTGCCACTCTCTCAGCACAGTTTCTCCCCAATCGCCAATCAACTATTCAGTGATAATCGCTCAAACTCGGCGGGAGATCCTGAATACGAGTTCCCCATTCACTCTCCTTAGGTCCCAGCACAAGTTCAAGAACACCACCCTCAGCGAAGAAGTCATGGGTGATCCAATTCTTTGTCCATGGTTTGTCGTTCCACTTGGCACTCTGGATATAGATGGACTCGTAATTAGGATCGAAATTGATGTTGCGGATAGTGGCGACCTTTTCAGTGAGGGCGTTTCGAATGCTGACTTCTTTGAAGTACGGTGGAGTGATCAGGTAAACGTCCTGACCGGGCACTGGCCACAGACCCATCATGCTCAGAACAATAAATGAGCCCATGGCTCCGCTATCATCGTTACCGGCGATACCATTGACTGTCTTGTTGAATTGGGATGGAATATAGAAGTGGCTCTGCTTTGCCGAGAGACCTGGCCGTCCCGAGTAGTGGAATTGATAAATGGGTAAGAAGGCCTGTTCATCTCCCACGTAGAGCAAACCAGAGTCATGGAGATAGGTTAGCCGAGAGGTGAAGGATTCGGCACCGCCAAGCGTCTTGATAAGAGCGCCCATGTCGTGGGGGGCATAGCTGTAAAAAAAAGGGTTAGTTAAGAGAATAAGAATCATAAAGCACAAGTGAGCACCTACAAGGTATACATCCACGCACTACCTTCATAGGTCTCATGGCCATCAGGATTGAGGTAACATCCGGTGAAGTTCAAGAGGAGGACTACACAAGATCGGGTCCTGGTAGCCCCATGTGCCGTTCGTGTATCGAGGTTGTAGGAATCCGGTGAAGTTGGTGTCGACCCCGTTGATGGTTGACTTCTGGTCGGGCTTGAACATGTGGGCCCAGTTTCCAGACCGTTTCGTGTATTTCTCATAGTCGGACTGGTGGCCCATCCCCTGTGCCATCTCGGCAATGCAAAAGTCGTTGTAGGCATATTCCACCGTCCGCGATATGCTCCGAGTGTGTGTACCTTCGCCATCAGGATCATAGTCATCAAAAGGAATATAGCCGAGATTTTTCCAACTCCGCAAGCCACCGCGGCCTTCCACATCCCAGTTTTGGGGCTCTACCTCTGCATCCTTGACAACAGCTTCATATGCAGTGTCCCAGTCGATACCCGGAACCTTTTTCAGATACGCATCTGCCATAACCACATCTGCGTTGGACCCGCCCTGAGTGAATCCCTTGCAAAGCGACATGCGACAGTCAGGCAGATATCCTTCGTGTCTATAGGTGTCGATCAAGCTGCGCATCATGAGGGATTGTGAGAAAGGATCAGCCAGGGTCAGCAGTGGGTGAATGCTGCGGAAAGAGTCCCATATACTGAGCCACATTATTAGCATGCTAGTCATATATCTTGAGGCGGAGTTGGCTCACCAATAGTAGCTGTCATAATACGGCTCGTCACTTTTCCAGAGAGGGTTTTCACCGGTATAGTCTTGGGGGCTGATGAATGTTCGGTATGCTCCACTCCAAAAGACCGTTTGTAGATCTGATGAAACTCCATCTGCATCTACAGAAATGACATCCAACTTCTTTCGCCAAGCAGATTCGGCAGCGGAAACGGTGCCCTCGAAGTCAAAGTCAGGTTGTTCTCGCTCCGCGTTCGAGCAAGCCTGGTGAACACTTATGAAGCTAACGCCAACGCGAGCAAGAATACTGTTGTCTTTGGGGGCGTGGAATCTGGCAAATGTACCGGCCGAGAGAGTGGATGATGCGTCAGACCCGAGTGTCAGCGTCCGCCTGCTGATGTTTGGTTGGTTTTTCTCCCAGATTCCTGTGTCACGAAGCTCTGCTCCTTTGAAATCAATGCAGACATATGACTTATAACTGCCAATACCAAAGCTCGGGCTGAAAGTCCCACTTCCCGTGAGACGCCCAGTCGATCGGTCCACTTCGGCACTTCCACTTGTTCGAGATTGCGGTAAATCCATCAAATCCAGAAGGACCACTGGACTCAGCGACTCACTTGAGGTTTCATTGAACGTGAACCGATATAAAGCAGATCGATTTGTGGCTGTTATTTCCGCGTGAACGCCATTCTCCAATGAAATGCTGAAATATCCTGGGCGAGCTTCAGGGGATTTTCTATCCCAGACAGCTGCTCTGTCCGACTGTTGCCATTTGCACTGGTTAACATCGTCATGCGGGCAATTCCCTTGCGCAAAGATAGGGAAATTCCCCATCGATGGTGCCTTTGAAGCGAGTCAGATAGAGGGCATGTTCTCCAATAGTCTACGAAAACTTACGCCGCCAGTTCCAGAATCATGCATGTGTGAAAAACCGGTCACAACTTTCGTATCATAAGCGAAGCCAGCCTGATTCTCGCCTGTTGTGTCCGCCACGGCTTTGGCCATGCCTGTATTTGTTAGCCTTGCTAGATGAAAACACGGAGAATGGTATGAATCACCAAATGGCAAAGTCGCGCCAGCAAATACATGGCCTGTAAGAGCTGTCAGCCTTCGCTGACAGAAATGCTCGTCGTATTCAAGACAAACCTCCATTCGCAGTGCCAATCAAAGGATCGACATATTTCAAGACGTCAAAATCATCTGAAGAGTCCTTTGCGGCTATCACGTTGGAAGCATAGAGGACTGTTACGATGCCACCGAGGAGCCTCATGCGCAGGGAGTGATGCTGTGATGGCATAATGGACCCAGGGACTATCCACAACCAAACACAAGATAAACCAACAGGTGTCCAATTTACAATTGAGACGTAGAAAAAACGCGTTCCATTTCGGAATTTGAGCTCCTCATTTAGAAATTGGCAACAATTCGCGGGGAAAGCATTCCGGACCAGATCGGCACGCGAACTGCCTTTCGAGGGAATGAGGGAAATGAGGAAACCACCAGTCATATCCTTGGTATCCTTCGTATTGGACTTTAGGCCAAATGACAATATGCAGGAGCAATTCACCAGTGGACGTAGCATCGACCCTCGGCCAAAGTGGTGTCACATCTACCATATCTGGTCCCGGAATATTCCCTACCACGCTCGTTTGCTCCCCACATAGGGAGAGGTCAAAGGGCGAAAAGCGCGAAAAGCGCGAAGATGCGCAAGGAATATGCTTAGCAACATTGAAGGATTCAAGAAAAAAGAAAACTTCGTAATGACCGGGTTCCTGACTTTTCTATCGTTGAGGGTGGAAGTCAATTACCCCGAGCTGCGGGGAATGTTGTCGCCCCAGGGGGTTGATCCGTCAGTTCCGAGAACAAGTCAAGACTGAGCCCAAGCCTTCAATTTATGTAACCTTCTCCGCGCCATTTTGTGTCAAAAATATGGAGAAGGCGACGGTAACATGATCAACATTATGATCGACCGGTCGGGACCTTTTCGGTGAAATGCAGGATTTCCAACATGCGTCTCAGAGCGTCGACAAATGATGCTCGGCAAATATCGAGGCCATTAAAAGTGATCGTGTCGGGTAAATCGAAAGCTCAAGACATTCAATGTTTGTTCTTTTGTTGCAGTTGCAACTCTTCATCTACTTAAAATTCCTTGTTGACTATAAGTCAAAGATGTTTCATGCAGCCAGACACGAAAAGTCAAAACATGTCAAGAGCAAGGCTGTCCCAAACCTTCCCCCTTTGCTCAGACGTCGGTCTTGAGCTGATGTTGTGTGGAACCGTTGAAGGGCTGGGGATGGTAGAATCTCAGGGTGAATCCCTGGAATCAAGGTACGCTTTGATTTGTGCATTCGCGCTGCAATCGTGAATAGTCTTCTCGGATGTTCGCCTTGTCTCGCATTGAGGCCCGATTTGATTCAATCTCTTTTATCGCCGTTCCCAATTGATGCTTGAACTGTGACGATTGGGCATGGTGATCTGTCTCAGCATCTGGCAGCGCTAGATATTCCAGAAGCTGAGGGTACGACTCTGCAACAGGAGATACCTCAGATGGCGTACCGCGAGCATTGATTTCATCAATACGGTTCAAAGACCGGGGATCCATCATCCGCGGGGCCGCCGAGGATTTACCCCGTGATGCCGTTGGTGATCTATCAGCACGAATTGGAATATTTCCAGATGACGGGTCTGAGTGGCTCTTTGGGGTTGTCCCACCAGTGCTTGGGGCTGGGGATGGCACGGGAAACTGGGGCGGTGCATGATCCCAAGCTCTTGCCCGGCAAGACGGACAATGGAAGTTATTTGCAGAACGAACCACATCCAATAGACATGCTGTATGATAGGATCTACAGCATGTCTGGCAACCAATCAGACTGTCAGGGAGACGACACTCCCAACAAACTATATTATGAGGCCTCCCAGCATCTGCGATAATTAATTAGCAGATATCACTGGTCAGATTTGATATAGTGGCACACCAATCCATTCGTGATATACGCGAATTTGTTCTGGGCCTGAAAGAACAGGCTGTGTTGAAGATATTGAGCCCCATCGTATCTGATCGTGATCTTCAATAGACCGGACCAATGGAGAAGATGTGTCATATTGGCTATCAACGATAATTGACGGTGTCCGCAGCATGATGTATGGTTTTTGTAGAAGAAAAGTAGATGACGACAGGATGTACACGGGAAATGTGACCAAATTCCGAGTTCCAAGCGAGAAATTCCCGGGATATTATGTAATCGCCCCTTCAGCCCGGGGACGCATCCATCTTGCATCATTCATTCTAGATTTTTTGTCCTCGAATTGCATCTTCGCCTGATGTATTCTCGAAATGTGAAGTAGCTCTGTGTGATATAAAGACGCAAAGTGGAGCTTCCCCCATGATCTCAAAAACCGAGCACTAAGCTCTGGAGATCGCGATATTGGCACGAAACCCACAATGCCTGGGGTGCCATCTAACAAGGCTTGCGAGCGTTGCAAAAAGAGGCATCTCAAAGTTGGTTCGCTGAACATAGATTTTTAGATTGTCGCTAATCTGTGACAGTGTGATGAGACTCGCCCTCATTGTCAGCGTTGCACCACTGCGGGGGTAGAATGCCCGGGCTATGTTCAAACCCGCAAATTCATCGATCAAGGGGCCACAGTAAGGCGCCGCTATGCTCCATATCAGGAGCCTCATCCAAAACCAGGCTCTGCACTCAATTCAAGCAAAGTGGGTCAAACTGCCCACTATCCCTCTGCCCAGGCACTCATGCTTTGTGATAGGTCCCCGCTGAGCTGATATCAGACCCAACGCAGCCAAAAAGCTCCCAAGTAGGACCTAATGAGCAAAATTTGCAATGGAACCAGCCTCAAGAGCAAGATAATCCTGCGCTTCATTTCCAGATTGAGGAGACGAGGTTAGACTCAGGAGATGACCCCATGGTAGTAGAAATGTCTGGTCCTTCTAGCCGGCCAGAGGTTGCTATGGGGAGTATCCAGCAAACAGCGATGCCTGCCCCGGAAAGCCCAGCTATCTCTATCCCCAAGTCCATCTCTGGCATCGAGGAAAGCAGCGTATCTTCAAGAAACACGATATATAAGTCAATTTCACCAACTGCGGCCACAGGAGGTTTCCCAACATTTGATAACACCTACAACCCAATTCCACATAAACGCCCCGACTACCAAAGGGTCATCTCCGAAAGCTCATCACATCGAAGTGAAAGAGAGGAATTCCAAGATATCTTCTCCGAGCTCATGACTGGAACTGAACACGAGATCGCGTTCCTCACTCGACATTACTCGGAGACCATAGGTCCATGGTGCGTACAACTGACATTTCTCTTTGCGTGTACAGTGTATTGATAATGCAACTAGGTTGGATTTGTCGGATAGTCAAAAATTCTTCACCGTCCATGCTCCTATTCGAGCCATCAACAATCTGTCCGTGAAGTATGCTATTGCAGCGCTAGCAGCCAAACACCTAGCTCGTTTGAAAGGGGTCAAGTCTTCCACGGGTGGAATGTTCACGAGCCCTGCGACTACGGAAATCTACCCAAACGCAACTCAAGTTGACTGGTTCCTCAAGGCTGCCAATTACTATTACCTGGCAGCTTCGGATTTGAATAACATCACGTCCGAGGGTTATACCACTATATCTAGCTCAGCTATTTTGGAATCCCCCTTTGAGATCGTTGGTCGATGGATCAGCTCTCGTCAGACTCAAGCAAACATGAAACCCGGGAGTGAAGACCCAAACGACGTGGCGGTCATTCGAAAGACAGAGGAGCTGTTGGCGACTGCTACGCTTCTTACCGTGTACAGGCTTTTAGATATGCCCGGGGACGAGTGGCACATGTAAGATATCCTCGTTTCAAGGTTGGTGATTGGTATTTTATTACTAACACTTAGACCCAGGCAACTTTCTCGCATTCGTCCTTTGTTTGAGTCTCTTCTCAGTTTACATTTGGCGCCATCCGCCCTGTTTTCTCATGGCATTCAGGCTGCCTTCTGGAATTTCGCTCGCCAAGACTATCTCGGTTCCTATTTCACCCGATCACCTACACACTTCGACCCAGAGAACCTGCCCCTCTGGCGGGCAGCGGGAATTTCAATTAATGACCAGAAAGACTTCCATCTTATCCGGAATGGGTCAACTCTATCGCAGGAAGATCAGGCTGCTAATGGCTTGATCTGGCTTGTCACGAAAGTCATCAACTTCCTGGCCAGGTCTAAACAATTACAGCTCGCGCAGTGGACAGGATCTCCACCGGCAGCTTCACCCGAAATCCAGGGCACAACAAACGCCGCTCAACTGCCATATCCGGACACAGATACCTGGCTCAAATTATCTTTCGAGTTTCAAACATGGTTTGAAAATGTGCCCGAAACGTTCCGTTCTTCTGTGCGGATCGAACGCCCCAAGGACCTATCAAAAACTGCCGAAGGGAGTTACTTGCCATTCCCTGAAATCTTTCATAGCTTGACAACCTGTGCTGCTGCCATGCAACATTATCATTTCGGGCGCATCGCATTATTGCTCAATCGCCCGGCAGATGTGATCAGTGCACCGTCTACGGCCTTTGACCGCTTACAAGGGTACAGGGAGGTCACGAAAGAGGTCGAGTTCCGCTCCCGTGAACTCTGCGGCATTGCATTGGGCCGCCCCCAGGGTGGAGTTCGCATATTTATGGTCCCGCTTCTTGTCGCCGTTGGACAGTGTCTTGAAAACCCCGAGGAACATCAGATTATTGTTGATCTGCTACGGGGCGTCGAAGCTGATTTGGGTTGGACTACTGAATATGCCATTCGGAAACTCCAGGATACTTGGAATCAATGATTTTACTTGATTTATGTTTCTACGTCGGGAGGGGTCATGAACTATACTGTATCTAAATGTCTATACCTTATACTTGATTTCAAACACTCTGATGAGCAAAGTACACTTATTAGATACTGAGACTATCGCCGCTCATGCTTCATCGGGAATTATCTCCGAGGTGTTGGCTATGTCATGACTTGGGGAGATGATGGCATCCTTCCATCATGCATAAGTGTATGATAGCAAATATATCCCAATATGTTTGAAAGAGAGTCCATTGCAACGATATCTCAAAATCTAAAAATATAATCAACTGTCTTCTAGTTTAGCAGTGATAAAGCCCAACCTAACAGAAACAGAGATCAGCACGAATAATATCTCAATAAAAATCAAACACAAACTTTTTAATGCAACCAATTCTTATATCCTGTATCAATGAATGCGTACTGTTTCTTTCCACTGTTCTGATCTGAATGTCAACCCAAGCCACGGCGAAGCTAGAGACATATACCGTCTTCATGTTTGAATGGGATTTATTCCGAGGAACGTGACAGATACCTTTCAACCGGATCTGGATCTGGTTCTGGCCTCCTCCGAGGAACGTCCAGACAGATATCTTTCAACGGGATCTGGATCACCGGAACCACAGGAAGAAACCCTGCGGCCAGCCTTCTTTCTGTCGGAATCCAAGGTCTGCGCGAATGGTGACAGTTCCCGAATCCTAGGACCTTTCCAATAGAATATGTATATTGGAATGGTGAAGAGGATCGCCATAAATCCCAGGAAGGTGGAAGGCCATTCAAGGTGATGTGTTGTACCCATGTGTGTGTACACTTTGTTTCGCGGTCAGGGGATATTCTGTTGGAGGATTGTGGTCACTTACTGGGCAGTGAATACATCGCTGCAATACCGGCCAAGAAATCACGCGCGAATCCGTTTCCTCCTGTGGCCGAGGCGGCATATGGGCCATACGCGGCAATCATGTAGTCAATTGTGGCCATATAAATGGCGTACTTGATCACAGTATAAATTATCAGTCTTGTATCAAGGGATACGTCTTTTTCTTGACTTACATTAGCAATAGCTATCAAGGCTGAAAATATCATAGGCGCAATCCAATGGACATGAGGTGGACCAAGACTAGTCCACGCGAATCCAAATAGGCCAATTGTCAACAGAGGAGCCACTGTTGCGCGTGAGTAATGAGACCAACAGATAGAATCTAAGGATACTTACCCCATAGCAGCCAATAAAGACGAACTTCTGGCTGAAGAGCATCTGGGTCTTTCTGTCTTATCTTGCAATGCCGATAAATCCATGGAATGAACGAAAAATAGGCAATAAAATAGCCCACCAGAATTCTGCATAATTAGATCAGAACCAGCCTAAACTCAAGGTCGTGCGCACTCACGGGAGGAAAGCAAGTCCAGTTGTAATCGTAGTGAAGTGCCATTGCTTGTATACCGGCGTATAGGATTGAAGGAAAGTGAAGATGAGAGAATCGCTGAAGCCGCTGAGCAGAGAGAGGCACAAGACGATAGGCTCGCGCACGAACATAACAAACGGTCGTATCCAAACCATGAACACCCAGCGGAAGGACAAGCGAGTTTTCTTCAGCTCGTCACCGCTCCATACCATATCCCCGTTTTTCCGTCTTCGCCTAGCCTCTCTCGTGATGAGGATGCTGCACCTGGTCTCTGGAATGGGGAAGTGCAATATCTGCACAAAGCCTCCAAGGATAAGCTGAATCCAGAAATTCCAACGCCAGGAAAGGAAGGTTGCCACGAATCCTCCAACGATCGGGGCAATGACCGAGCCTGCCACGGAGGATAGCACAATGAAGGCCACAGCATATTGTTGGCCCTCTGGCTCCCACATGTCTGCTACCATTCCGAGTGTTACGGAACCACCGGCGGAGGATAGACCCCCAAGGATGCGGCAGATAACAATGGTGCCAAAGTTGGGAGCCAAAGCGCAGGGGATCTGCCAAATATTGACGAAGAACAAGCTAAGCTGCATTATTGGCCATCGACCAAACTCTTCGCTGAAGGGCGCCCAAAACTCGCAGCCAAATGCATAAGCAACGAGAAATCCCATCTGGCCAACACGTGCGGCCTGCTCTGAGATGCTGAAGTGTTTCGCGTACAGAGTGATGCTGCTGGCATAGAAACTGGCATTGAAGTTCATGGATGTTTGGACAGCAAAGATGATGGAGATGATACCCCATTTCTTCCACCAGGGATAGGAATATCCTAGCTTGTCGTAGCACTCCCATTCTTTCAACTCTTCTCTGGCATGTCCATTGACAGCTCCATCTGCACCCTCTTTCTTTCGGCGGCTGGGCCTATGGGTGCCCCCAGGAGGACGGATTTCACCATCACTGTCATCTTGCTTCTCAACGTCTCCATCTGCCTGATCTTGATTGGAGAAAGGGTCTTCGTGGTGACTCATTGTAGTGAAGTATCCGACAAAAGCAATTCCGGAGCTCTCAGCAAAATAGCACCCAAAAAGACAAGAACCGCCATTCTGGACACCAGGCATAAACCGGGGTCCCGGAGCCTAATTAAATGCTGTTTGGGGTTGTCCAGAGAAGTTCCAATAGTCCATTACATCGAGTCTGTAGATAAAGCATCACTGTTTCCGATTGGTCCGGTTGACCAGCACAGTCTGGCTCGACCAAGCTTTACCAAGCTTCCTCGCGTGTTTCGTGGTGTGGAGGTGACATCCGGGGATCATGACTCGATCGATCATCATTGGGCTCATTGAAATTCTTCCCTCCACACTCTGGGGGATTGGGGATAAGTCCCCGGCCGACAGGCCGCAATTATAATCCGACAACGCAGACATGTTTGGGTCCAACTTCTTGAACCTTTTGAAGAGAAGGAGCTGATAGGTGAAATGGTCCGGAACATCCTCCGGCGCGGTACTACATATTCCTAATAAGGGTAACAAGAGGGCAATATTGATGGCGAAGCCGGGATAAAGATCACGAATGACTATGGAAGGAAGAAAGGCCGATGGAGAAAAGTCCTGGTAAAGAAGATGGCCTCAGGCAGCCACTCATCCATAGTATGGACATAATACTACATACATATGTTAACTATGTAGTTACTACTAGTACTACAGTTTGCATCTAATTATTTCAAGTCCTAAATCGTCAAGTATAGAGGGTATATAGCCGACTACTTCTGTGGTTTCACTAGTAATATAAGCACTATTCCATTATTATAGACTCAGCTTCGCTACATTGCTGCATATGCAGGTCCATCTCTAAATAAGGGGTCCTCTTTTTTTCGCTGTAGCTAGATGCCATGCCCACCACTCTTGTCACAAAGCAGTCTAGTCCCTTAATGCGGAACAGCGTCAAGGGGGCCTCCAAACGATAAATAGATCCTTGTGCCCATAAGCGTGGCATTTCTGTCAAAGTCAACCAGTAGCAGGGTTCTAGTTAAAGCAATAGCCTCCATCCGTACTCCGTAGTGCTCATAATTCCCCGGATTCCCCGCAGGATGCGCTTTAACCTTTTTGCTTTTCTCATACTTCCGAGGTCTCTGTCTTAATGGCTTATTCTTTAACATCTACCATCGGTAGTTGTTCACTTTGCTTTCCCAAATTCTTTCACGTCTCTTGCTTCCGCGGGTGCAAAGGACCGAGTATAAGCTGAGCAAGGGGTTGCACTGAATGCGGTTTTGGGACTAATAATACCAGATTCTACCGAGAAAAGAGGATCGTGAGCCGACAGACGCAAATGGCTTAGGTCTATGAAATGGTGTTCAATTTGCCTGACAGTGTTCTGTTCAACTGCCAGGTCAAACTGACTTTTGCCCAGAGAAATGGCCAGGAGCACTGCATCATGAAAACTGGGCTCCACTGATTGGATATCCAATCGGATATTTTCGAGGGCATTGCATTCGTTGGAACGTTGAGTGCAAAGCTCGCAGTCAAGGGGAGTTTGGATACGCATCGTCTATATACTAGATGTCAGTGTCACGGTGGTCGCAGAACGATAAGATATACTGACTGTTAAAGGCTCCATATTCAAACATCTAGAGTCAGTCCTAGGTTGATTTTCCACAAAACCCACTTTTCCGTGACAAGTGGTTCTTACAAAGGGAGACCTTGTGTTTAAATGGTGAACAGCCACCGCTCATCTGCAAGATGACTAAGTTGAGAGGATTATCCTGCCTCATCGCATGAACCATCAAAATCTGTTGGCCAAAAATTATAATTTTGCCCCTGACGTATCTGGAGGCAATCGAGAAGTTTGGTCTTCTATTGCGCATGCTCTTGGCACTGGAGCGTGGGCGCACTGAGCTACAGACACCTTGAAGGGCCGGCAGAATGGTGTAGGGTCGAAGGCTTAGAGTGATAGGAAGCAACTCTATATTGTTTGTTACCGCTTGTTAGGGCTATAGTCTCATTGTTTGCGTATTCAATCGGCGCTAGCGTGCTTGAGCTGGGTGTTGCCATTTCGCCCCATCACGCTCGGAGCCTGCGTTCTGGAACCATCGATTTAGATTCATAGACATGTATCTCTCAGAGATTACAGGTGTTTCGAGTATTGTGGCTTATCTGTCTCAAAGTGGTGCCTGTGCAAGTAGTTAAATCATAGATAGCATTAGAGGCTGACCAGAACAGGCGTAAATAACAGTATTTTATTGAGATGAATCATCAGTTGTATCCGTCCATACTAGGAAAAGTGCGCTAGAATTATGCACTGTGTCACGATCTACATATTATTACATGCCAGAGATCGTTTGTTTGCTTTACTTCCTTTGTTCTTCGAAGTGCTACTATTCCTAATTGGGAAAGGGGTTTGTTTGCATTGTGGGATAGCTCTGCTATAAGATCCCTGGGATTCACCACTTGCTCTCTCTCCTTCTCCCCATCTTTGCTTTTCTAGTTTGAATGCACTCTTTCTTGTTGATTGACCTGGCACGTAACACACTGGAGGGTCGCTGCGGGTCGTTGAGGGTGATCCTCGGAGGGTCCGTGGAGGTTCAGGTTCAGGTTCCCTAAGGTTGGAACCTGAACCACGGAGGGTTGGTTCGAGGTTCTGATATTGGACCCGTAGGGAGGTTCGCGCCGAGGTCTACAGATAACACACAGTTGTTATGACATCGATATCATTCCCTGGCAACAACTATGGGATCTAGGTGGGAGATAACCGTGGCTCCATCGCAGCAAGTTCCATCTGCCTCCATGTAAGTTAGAGGAACAGGACAAGCTCACGGTCGTGACTAATCGCCACGTCAAACCCTATTGCGACCAGAAACTCCATCCAAATAGGAAGGCTGTGTTCCGGTGCCTATTTCAAGTTTTTTGAACGAGCTGCCAACCTAGCAGAGCTTGGACACGATCCGGCTCAATCATACCCAGTTGCAAACCGTCCAAGGATATGGAGATATCTCCATTTGTATGGGGATCAAAAGCTTCATTTTTGATAGTTGCAAACCGCCCAAGAATATGGAGATATCTCCATTTGTATGGGATCAAAACCTTCATTTTTAAAACCCTCCAACGCCAGCAGAACCAGGCTACTTTGATTATTAAGGCATGTGTAATAGTAACAGGTATCTTAATTTTCTGCCGTTCTAAAATAAGGCATTCAGGCACCCAGCCCCCCCCCCCCCCCCCCCCCAAAAAGGGGTTTGAACCCTAAGCGCTATGGGACTACATACCTTGTCAGTTCGAACTATCGAAAAAAAAGCCATACAACATACATCCAGTATTCCCCTCGACAGAATACGAAATGCCACGCAGATGAAACCATTCGGGAAATGACTTCCAATGCCGATCTTCAAAGATTGAGTAAACATTGGCTGATCGGCTGATCTGGTGTTGAGGTCCCTATTTTTCAGAACTTTTAAGAAATGATCGGCATATAAAATGGGGCATAAAAGGGCATCTATGGAGCGGACCCCCGAGTATCCACAGATGGATTATAAACTTTTCATCCATGGGTTCGGTTTAACTTCATTAGCTTATTTAGCTTACTTTAAGCTTACTCTTAAACTTCGCGTTCGTTTCCCAAAATCAATTTTGTTAGCTCTGTCTACTCTGTCCTCTTACTCTGACTTAGTCCTCTTTACTTCAGCCTAGATTTTACACTGTGTTTGGTTCCTTCGTTAAAGCTACATCATCAGATATAACCAACCTTTGTTTTTTATTAAATGTAGAGGTAACATCACGCTACTAGCAGAGATTAGTGGGTTTCCGCATGCAATGACGCAATGTTAATGGAAATCAGGGTCGTCCGACTAATCTGGAGCTGTTCGATTGCCAAGCACCGCGAGCAAACAATTGGTCATGCCAAAATCTCCATTTTTTCCCCTATAAATTCCGGAAGATTACTGTTAATATCATAATCCTCATTCGCCGCTAGAGCAAATTACATACAGCGTTGTACAGCGTACTTGGGTATTTCCAATATTTTTTCTAGTAACCCTCCTTGGCCAGCGGGGCGGGTGGACCTTTGGATTCGGAGCTCAGCTCTACCTGGCACTGCTGATCCTAAGTATGGGCTTTCTCCTAGTTGCCGATCGGGGATTTAGTACTTTGTTTTGTATTGATGGTGGAGAAGACGTCAGCTCCCCTGGTTCCGACCTCAGGAGCTCAGGAGGAGCAAGGGCGGATTTATCGCTGAGTCGTGCTGGCTGAATTTGTTACACTCCGCACTTGAGAAGAATTGAGTGTTTCCGTCAATTATTCCAAAATGGGCAAAATCGTGGTTGACAACTTGGCCAAGGTGCCTCGATGTCTGGCCGAATCTATTACACGCTCGAAGGCAGAGTATCGAAGACTAGGGAACTCAGGCCTGAGAGTCTCGAATCCTATTCTCGGTGGTCTAACTTTGGGCAGCTCATGCTGGCTTCCGTGGGTTCTAGGTGAAGACAAGGTATTTATTAGCTATTCTACCCTTCTAGTCATCCTAAAATGCTTATACTCGCTATTTGCAGGCCCTGGGTATTCTGAAGTCTGCTTATGATCGCGGTATAAACACCGTATGTTTGCCTCCCCTTTATGCATTTCTGGTCATGACTAACCCGGTGAAAGTGGGACACTGCAAATGTCTACTCAAATGGTGAGTCCGAGAGGATCATCGGGCAAGCGCTTCAGAAATACAAGATCCCCCGCCAGAAAGTTATTATCATGACCAAATGTTATCGCGTCCTATGTGATCCTGAAAACTATGATCCGGGCTCCATGGTGACCATGCACCATAAGTTAGCCGATTCAAGCAAGGATTATGTGAACCAATGGGGTATGTAAAGGTTTCCCCTAATGCACAAGCTCCACATGCTTATTTCTTCCAAGGATTATCACGTTCTGCGATCTTCAAAGCAGTTGAAGGATCACTCAAGCGTTTGGATACCAGCTATATCGATGTTCTTCAAGTCCACCGTTTTGACCCAACGGTGCCTATGGAAGAAACCATGCGCGCCTTGGATGACCTGGTGAGGGCTGGCACGGTTCGCTACATTGCCGCTAGTTCAATGCGGACATATCAATTTTCCATGATGCAATATGTCGCCGAGAAGAACGGGTGGACCAAATTCATCTCGATGCAAAATCATTACAACTTGTTGTATCGTGAAGAGGAGCGAGAGATGAATCCATATTGCAACCTCACCGGCGTTGGTCTCACACCGGTAAGGACCTTTGATCGCCCCGGAAAGATACTGACAGGAGCTAATGACTCTTATACAGTGGGCTCCATTGGCATCTGGTAGGCTCGCCCGTGACACAATAGAGAATTCAAGCTCAAAACGGGCCGAGTGGAGCGCTCGTGGGTCACTATATGACAATGGTGTCGAGGATATTGACGGTATCATCTCACGAGTTAAAGCGATTGCTCTAAAACGAGGGTGGCCAATGAGTCATGTCAGCTTGGCTTGGCTGAATCGGCGGGTCACTGCACCCATCATTGGGTTTAGTTCAAGTGAGCGCATAGATGAGGCTCTAGGTGCTCGAGGCAAAGAGCTAACGGAGGAAGAGGAACGGTATTTGGAGGAATTATATCTTCCCAGAGCTATCCAAGGGCATGAATAAACCGGTGGCTCATTTTAAAGATTTGATATTATTATTACTATTGATTACATTTCTTACTCTCGTGTCTGTAAATGGAAAACTTACCACGCAAGCCTTTGCTTAATCAAGTTGAATATGCCTCTGATTTGTATTGTTTAAATGTTTTTCTATTTATATAAAATTGCGCTGTTGGTCACATAGCACGAAATGAACAAGGTTCAATGACATTTATTTTCTTTTTTCTTTCGTTTAAGAATAGAAAATTAAATGAAATTGCAAACGCTGAATCGAATGAGAATGGAAATAAATATAATGAAGGACAAGACAAATCTGGTCGGAATGAAAATGAAGTATATATAACCAAGGACAAGATAAAAGAACTTCTCACGAAGATCTGAAGATCGCACGCTGGTACAAAATTGTGGGAGGCTAAAGACTCCGTATTGAGATTTTCCCTTCAACTTTGCCAGGAGGGCCAGCTGGAACCCGTATGCGACAGGCCCGCTTAACGCATGTCCGTCTCTTTCGTTTCCAGGCTGCTACTGATCTCGTCGATCTACCAGAAGATCCAGTACGGGAACTAGCGGTATGGAAGTCCTCATCTTCACTTGTAGTGAGAGATTGGCTCAGTGACGGAGTCGCGATAGGCGAAGAAGGCGAGAGGTAGCGGACGGAGGCGTGCGCGGCAAAACGCGCCAGGGCATTCACACTTGCGGGATCTCGAGGGACGAAGTGAGAGCCAAAATACTCGACGGTTTCGTATGACGTGAAAGAGCGAGCCAAGTTCATGGATAGGACCGGTTCCACGATCGCGTCCATACTGGCGAATGTATGAATGCTCGGCGTCTGCAACGGCCACTGATACAGACTGCCATAATATTTTGGTGAGCCCTGGTAGCCTCCAATTGCAATAATGAACCTCAGCCGTTCCTGGTCGGGCAGAGAGAGATAATCATCCACAGGAAGACCTTGGGCCCGGATGGCGGCGATCTTGTCGGGGTTTTTATGGCATTCGAGCAGAGAGCAGACCATCCCCGCCAGAGCGGCGCCTTGCGAGAATCCAATAACTCCCTGGATGGGCGTTCCATGAAGGAATCTTGCGACAGAGGAAAGAGAATGTTCGATGCCTCTGTACTCATTCACAGTATCTCGTCCATACCACCAGCCCATATTGATCTGGCCTTGTCTCCCTTCATCTATTGTAGCTTGCTTTTCAGCTTCATTCTCGAAGTCATACCCGTTCCATCCAAGGCCTATCGGGGGCTCGAGAAGCAAGGCCCCATCCGGGCTTAAGAACTCAATGCCCCCTGGGAACTCAGAAAGAATTTCGGGGGTCATCATCTCAGTGATGCGTTGTCTTATAGGCCTCGTTTTGGCCATGATATTAGATCCGTTGGCGGCAAAACCTGAAAGAAATCGTTCATTAATAAGAAAAGACTCAGACATAGCAGTACCTGTATTGATATCGCACTCACCATGGATAACCAATACTCGAAACTTGGGCAGTTCGGGGAGCGTTGTGTTCAAATGCATGGTGTCAAGTTCCCAAACAGAATTTTGTCACGATGTCGCTGGTTGGAGGCACAATGGGGAGACAAGAAGGCCTGATTTGTGTTAATTTTCCTTTCGCCGGGGAGGGTTCAGGGGTGACATGATTGACACATTCAACAGGGTACCGATAGAGGAGTTTTACGTTAGTATCTCTAATTATGCCATATTTTTGGCAGAAATTATTTCTTTAAATTTTTTTTTTCTGATAGCTGAATGTCCGAACTACGTAGCCAACCACCAACCCACTTACCGCATGTTGCTGGTCTTGGCACGGCTACAAGTTGAATAACTCATTAGTATCGCCTTCTAGCGGACCCAGCTCCCATTGAAGATATAATGATATACACGTTCCAACCCCTTGGCGTCGAACACAGTTTTGGGATTACTTCGAAATCTACCTAGGTACTCCGTACTATTGTTAAATGAGATATAAGTAGTCTGTGGGGCGCCGATCTTACTGCCGAACTCTATTAAAGTGGCTAAAGGGCAATAGTGGGTGGAGGTTTCACTACAGCGCTATACCCTCTTAAGTTAGAACTTCATGCTTTCTCTGATTATCCACATCATAATAGACTCCATGCCTCCACTATACAACCTATACAACTCGTATAGCTGTATGTATTGGGAAGAACCGGACGATCAGCTCGATCGATCAGCGGGCGGGCCCAAACACCACGTTTTCTTGGTCCATGTTTTTCGGGAGATACAGGAGGTACTCGTACAGGACCGCGTTAACCTACTCTGTCAAGGGGGCACTCGAAATTTTGGAAGTCGTCAATTTGAGGAGTGATCGGAGCATTAAGAGTTATATCCACATGTGAAAGCCAGTCTCCTAATCGGAAATACGTAGTCGACGCCGCAATTTCGACCCACCTTCGCTGTCAATTCTGCATTGTTGCTCTGCTCTGTCCATCTCCTTCGGTCAAGTGCACAGCTTTGTCTTTAGGTATGTTGGTTGACTCAGATCCATTGGACTGCAAGGGATTCGTTGTCTAACATCAAATTCGTCATTAGGATTTCTTCTTTTGCCAGAAGTTGCCAAATATGACGATTATTAACGAGCTGGATATTCCCAATGGGCTTCCCAAGCGCTATTGGAACAGCGAAAGAAACGGAGGTGCCAAGCAACCAACCATTGTCAAGACGGCCGAGGCAGTGGAAAAAGAGCCAGCAACAAACGGATATTCCTCCTCGATCGAATTTTGGCAGAGTGCCCTCGCAGGGGGTGAATGCGCACCATATCCGTCCCTACCACCGTTTGTCGATTCGCCTGAGGCAGACAAAGAGGCAGAGTACCAATTTCTTGAACCCCGAGACCTCACTAGTGAAATTTCTACGTCGACGCTAGTCCGCGCCGCATGGGCTTTGATCACTGGCTCCATGACCGACTCAGACGATGTTGTGTTTGGTGCGGCATCAGTCAGAGGAAATACAATCATTCCAGTGCGCGTAAGACTGAACCCCGATATGAAGGTTCGGGACTACTTGAAGGTGGCCCAACAGCAGGCCACCGAGGCACTTCCCCATGAGCAGGTGGGATTGGATCAAATCGCCAAGGCATCTTCCGACTGTCAGAAGGCTTGCATGTTTCAAACTGTGCTCGTTCAGTCTCAGGACCATGACTCACCGAAGGGGTTGGGTAAGTACGGTCTCACAATTCACATTCAGCTTGATGGTGGCCAGATGAACGCTAAGGCTTCGTTTGACTCGAGGGTGATCGAGCCATTGATTGTCTTTAAGCTACTGCGTCGCCTCGAATTTTTGATCCAGCAATTAAATAATGCAAGCCCGTATAAAGCGTTGAAAGATCTCGACATTCTTCCACAATTGGAAATGGACCAGATTCGAGAGTGGAATAGCGGTGTTCCACCAGTGGTGGAGCAATGCATTCATGACATCGTGCAGGAACATGTACAGGCCTACCCTGAAGCGCAGGCCGTTTGCGCTTGGGATGGAGAGCTGACATATCGCGAGTTGGACGATCTTTCATCTCACGTTGCCTCCCATCTCGCGAATCTCGGTGTTGGCCCGGAGAGGGTCGTGCCGCTATGCTTTGAGAAGTCAATGTGGACCGTTGTGGCTATGCTTTCCGTTCTCAAGGCCGCTGGCACTTTCGTCCTCCTTGATCCCGGTCTGCCTGAAGGCCGCCTTCAGAGCATCACCCAGAAAGTGCAAGCGGAAACTGCCATCACGTCCAAGTCTTGCCAAAAGCAACTTTCTCCCTTCGTACGCCAGACGGTCGTGCTCTCCAAAGAGGCCATGCAATCTATTAGGTCGCAAATTCAGCAATTGCCGTCAGAGTTGCCAAAGGCAGTCCCCAGCAACTCCGCTTATATCATTTTCACCTCCGGCAGCACCGGAGAGCCAAAGGGCTGCGTCGTCGAGCACCGATCTTACTGCTCGGCTGCTTTCGGTCATGGAAAGATCTTGGGCATGAGCAAAAATACACGCGCTTTGCAGTTTGGCTCCTACAATTTTGCCGGGGCTATTATGGAGATGGTAATGACCATGATCTACGGAGGCTGTATTTGCATCCCATCGGAGGAGGACCGCAGCGTCAACCTTGCTTCGACAATTCGCAAGCTAAACGCGAACTGGGCCTTTTTGACTGCAACTGTGCTGGCTCTCCTCCACCCAGAAGATGCCCCATCTCTGCGGACAATTTGCGTCGGTGGTGAGCCCATCCGAAGCTCCCAGATCAGGGAGTGGGCCCCGAAGGTTCAGTTACGACAGACATATGGCAGCGCGGAGACTGCTGCTGTTGTCTCGTCCGCTGGATTAGATTCAACCTCTGTAGTTACCAGCGTTGGAAAGGCGACTACTTGCAGGTGCTGGCTTACCAATCCGACCAACACCAGCCAACTCGTGCCAATCGGCGCACCCGGCGAAGTCGTCTTTGAAGGACCGGTGATCGGACGGTACTATATTGGTAACCCGCAAAAGACAGCCGAGGCCTTTGTTAAGGCGCCGTCCTGGAGAGCTGCTCTCGGTCCTGTCGCTGCTTCGTCTCGATTTTACCGAACTGGCGATCTCGCTTCATATAGAAGCGACGGGTCGATTGAGCTGCTGGGAAGAAAGGATACCCAGGTCAAGCTGCGCGGCCAGCGTATCGAGCTCGGAGAAATTGAGCACCAAGCAAGACAATCTTCGCCAGATCTGAAAGAAGTTGCTGTCGAGTTGACTGTCATCGGCGGCAGCGGTCCCAAGTTGATCGGCTTTCTGGTGCTCAAGTCTAGCAAAGAAAATGCAAATGACGGTAGCGTGATTATTGATGACCGGATAAGGGCAGTTATTCGGACTGTTAAAACCCAACTGGAGACGGTGCTGCCCCATTATATGGTGCCTTCTGTGATCCTCCCTATCCGAAAGCTTCCATTGACGGCGTCTGGAAAGACTGACCGGAGAATTCTGCGCCAAATGGGCTCGGCACTCACTGCGGAGCAGATCTCGGACCTGCAGCTGAAGGTAGTAGGAGAGAAGCGGCAGCCAAGCACACCAAGCGAAAAGAGACTGCACAAGATCTGGTCAAAAGTGCTCAACATCGACCCGGCCAACATCTGCCTTGATGACAGTTTCTTCCAGCTCGGTGGCGACTCCATTGCCGCTATGAAGGTCGTGAGTGAAGCTCGTACCTTTGGCTTGAACCTGCAGGTGGCGGACATTTTCCGCCAAGATATTCTCATAGAATTGGCTCGACATCAATCACTGAACTCCGCAAGTGCCTCCGAGCAACTCGATGAAGCTGTTCTCGTTGAACCTTCCGTCAAATCCACTCTGCTTGAGGAGCTGCACTCGAACTTCTGCATCAATGGTGCAGATGTGGCAGATATCTATCCTCTGACTGGTGTGCAGAAGACGATAGTGGCTGCTGGTGTAGCATTTGGTATAATGGCCGATTACTTCTACATGGATCTCGATGCGAGTCTGAATGTCTCGGACTTGGAACGTGGCTGCATGAGGGCTCTCGAGAAGTTCCCTATACTGCGCGCTCGCTTTTTGCAGCTTCAGGGCAATTTTTGGCAAGTTGTCATGCATGAGCTCAGCGAAGCCTTCAGTGTCCATAACGTGGATGGGGTTCTCGAGGAGTACTACCGAAATTTCTGTCTCGAGAATGTTAAATCCGTTCTACCAACCCAACCCCCCGCCGCATTTATCCTCTTCAAACATGATAAAGGAATGAGGCTGACTCTACGGTGGTCACACGCCCAATACGATGCGTTCAGCGCACCCATTGTTCTCCAGTCGATTTTGGATGGCGACCAGGGGGAAATCCCTGCCAAGCCAACATTCCCCACATTGCTGACTTACGCTGCCAACCGACACACTCAATCACTTAATTACTGGAGTAAATTGCTGCAAGGATCTCATCTTACTCCCATTGGGCCCCATGTTCGCCCGTGTAATCCTCCAAACGCCATGCCTGAAAAGGTTTATGGCGCAGCAGAGGCGCGTTTGGCCCATCGTACCGGCAAAATCACTCACGCCACTCTGACCCGGGCCGCATGGGCTGTCCTTCTCTCACAGATGGCAGGTGAAACTGATGTTATCTACGGCCAGGTGGTCGCCGGTCGTAACGCCGCGATTCCGGCTGTGGAGAAGATTGTCGGATGCTGTCTGAATATTCTGCCTGAACGTGTCAACTTCTCATCTCTTAAGACAGTTGCCGAGCTAGTTCATGCCGTTCAAAACCAATATCACTCAATGGGAGACGCAGACACGCTCGACTTCATGGACCTCATCGAGCAATGCACCGAATGGCCAGCCGGTTCAGGCTTCGACACGGTTCTCCACCAGCGAAACGTTGATGAAGAACCCGCGATCCAAACACCAGCCGGGATTTCACGAATGAAGATCTTCCAGAACCCGCTCCCTTTTCCATTCATTTTCATTGTAACCGTCTCGCGTGGTGAGAACGTTGATATCGAGGTATTTGCGAACACTCACATTATGGGCTCGGAGACGGCTGCGAAAATGGCGAGCAATTTGGCTCATATCACGGAGAAGCTGGTTACTGGCATGCACCTGGCTCTGCCAGACTTTATGGACGATGTGAAGCTCTTGATCTAATTCATTTCAATGAACTTCGATTCTATAAGCTGATAGCATGAGATTAATCTGCGTTTGTAATTATATATTTATCAATTCTATTTACATATTCAAACAAGAAAAGTTTAAAATACTTTCCTCGAGATGAGTCAAAATGCAAAATAGATAGAACCTGGAAATATGGATTGGTATGAAAAGTAAATTCCGAAGTGTTACAATTTTTTTTGGCAACTCTTGATGGGAATCGTCTAGTCTACAGAAAGAAACTGGAGGGAAATCTAGATCGATTCAGAGAAAACTGACGATGGGAAGAATAGGAGAGAAGGAATCTAACTCAACTAGTTATCAATATCTTGCATGGGGAGACACTTGGTACCCGGTCCGTGCAACCTAATTCCCTGCGGCCATTAGGTTGCCACAGTCTAATGCAATCCACGGAGTAGACTTTAAAGTGGTTAGTTAAGTATAGAATGTTTGAAAGTTGGACCATCGAGAATGAACTTGAATCTTAGAATTGGTGTGAAATTACTGTATTCAGATGTTTAAAATACTGATATTACAAAGTATGCTGCAGGCAAAACGAGTTATGGCGCACTGGACCTATATACTGCCGTACCACTATGCGAGCTAATTTGTTGAATTCCACACATCTTTGTCTTCCTGTAGTATTCATCAAAGGTTATACATAGAAAAGTCTCAAACACAAAGTATGCTTTTTTTTTCCCGCCCTTTTCTGCCGTCTAGCTAACAAACTGAGAAGGGGAAGAGAATATCTATGAAAACAGACATCTGAAAAGACAAACTGAGAAGAATCCGAAAAGACCAAAAACAACCACCAAAAAAGACATCTAAAAGGACCATCTGAGAAGACTACCAAAAAAGACTCGACACGGCCGCAAAGCGGCCGAGTATTCTTGTATTCATTATTAAAAAGTGAAGATAAAAAATGCCCACACTCGAGCCGGGCAATGTCAAAAATAGAGTGAAATAGAGGCAAAAAATGCTCACACTCGGAGTCGAACCGAGGATCTCATGATTACTAGTCATGCGCTTTACCACTAAGCCATGCGAGCTGATTGGTGGAAGCCTGGCACATCTTTGCCTATATAAGGCTCAAGAGAAGAAATTGAGGATTCCTGGTGCATCCATTTCTCTGTCGCTGAGGTACTAGACTTATAAAAAATTATAGCTAGTATTATTTTATTATATCTAAAATTTAGAAATCTCTAACGAACTAAATAAAGAAATAACACTAAATCGGTGTTACGGGCACTCCCGTCACCAATCAGCGGAGATCCACAAGCCACACCGATGGGCCACTAAGAGCTAACTAACCAATAAGTCACGTGATACACCACGGAAATATATGGTCTTTCCGTTATACCCTTATAATATAGAATAACACACGGTGTTAATAAACCTAAGATAAGTTATATCGTAAGGAACCATAGATCCTACGATATAGGCTACCGCACGGTAGCAACCATTATAGGATCCCTAGGGATCCAGCGAGTAAGACACGTGACCAAGGCATATCGTAGGACTAGGCTTATCCTAAGATAGGACTAGTCGTAGGACAGCCGTAGGACATACTTAGCTAAGTATAACCCTAGTATTTTATAGGAAGGGGTTAATTATAGGATACGCCTAACTAAGCGTGACTCTAGGACCTACTCTATAGGAGTATACCTAGGAGTATACGGTGACTCTAGTATCTACCCCTAGGGGGTAGACCAGGGAGTAGGCACGAAGGATATATAAGGACACTCATTTATATACTTAGTATAGCTCTTCGTCTTCAATCATACATTATTACTTATATATACCTTTGGAACTTCAGTGACTCTTTACTTGATTATAACTTGACAACACCTACGAGTAGACCAATACCTCGGTATAGATCTCCTCGGCGCTCTACCTAGCATCGTTCCTCGATACCTCGAAAGGACCTATCCTATAGTAAGGCCTATAAGGCAACAGTACGGTTGAGAGAACAGATCGTTGACGTTAGAAACCTGAGAATCATAAGGCAAGTATAACCGAATCCTTCTAACCTAACCGTGACCAGTTAGCAGTGCGTAACAATCGGCTATAAAATAAGAATATTTTCAAAACTAAATAAAGAGGTTACTCGAAAACTACTAGTTATAATATTTAGATAGAAATCCTATAATAATATAGCTATACGAAATAAAAACTTTAACATTTTTATAAATTTAAAAGGTATCTAGATTCCCTAGAAAAGTACCTTATAAAAAAGACTAAAAGGTAACGCGTTTAGGACTTATTTATAAAACTATAGGCCCCTCTATAAGACGTACTTATAGAAAACTAGAATAGCGAAATACTAACGACTTACTAATAAATCTTCTATAATATTAAAATTATTATATCTTTTACTTAATAGTTAAAAATAAAATAAAAAAAGAAGTAGTCTAAGTAGAAGACTTTACTATTTTAACTTTTTATTCTCTAATTAAGAGTATTATATAGTTATATATCTCTTTCTGATTGTTGTACAATCTATGAAAGCTCATTGAAGACTGGACGTTGTATAACGCGATATGCGAGGCTGGTGGTTGCGATAAATCCGAGAAGAGTTTGAAAAAGGCGTGCCTGGCTAAACCCCTGAGGCTTCCAGGACTTTGGCTAAGTAGGATATAAAATTAGGTATCAAATTTTTTATGAAGTAAAAGTAGTAAACAAAGGCGAATACTAACCAAGTTTCATAATAAGTGGACTACACCTTTTTCCCTTAGAGGGTACGGCGATGCCCCGGATGAATAATGACATTTTGACAGCGTTTACACATAGCTTTGGGCTCACCAGTCCTCTCATGTGCAACCTGATCAACCCGGCACCAGTGCTGCTCTATACGACTTTACACAAGGCTAAAATGCAAGCTTCCTATGCAATGATGCCCAGGGTTGGGGACGATGCTTATTCAAAGAGCTGATGTTGAATAAATTTATCAATGAGCTATTTCAGGAAGACCAGTTCCTAATCACAGAGAATTCTTGGTCAAGAATATCAAGATCTCCTTCGCAATATACTCAAAGTCTGTCTCCACAGCAAAGTGACCTGCGTCAATCAACTTGACGTCAGCGTTTGGCAAATCCCTTTTGTACGCCTCAGCCCCCGGCGGAATGAAGAACACATCACTTTTGCCCCAAATAGCAAGAAGAGGGACGCTCGATTTCCGGAAGTAGTCATGGAAATCTTCATAAATAGACACATTGTTCTGGTAATCCATGAACAAATCCAACTGAATTTCCTTATTTCCCGGACGCTCCATCAAAGCGTAGTCGAGATAATACGACTCTGGTGCAATGCGACTGATATCCGGAGAGCCGTTCTCGTACTGGAACTTGGTCATCTCCAGAGTAAGCATGGCCTGCGCAACCCTCGCACGATTTTCGGGTGCGTTGTTGCTAGCCCAGAGGTCTTGGATAGGACCCCAGACATCACCGAAGCCCTCGATATAGGCGTTTCCGTTTTGTGAGATGATTGCTTGGATTGAATCCGGCCGCTGGAGGGCGAGTCTCAAGCCGGTGGGCGCGCCATAATCGAAAATGTACATGGAGAATTTGGTGACGGAAAGTTCGTCGAGAAACTCAGCCACGGTAGTCGCCAAGTTATCGAACGTGTATTTGAAGGTTGATGGGGCTTCGGTGAATCCAAATCCTGGCAGATCTGGAGCTATCACGCGATATTTGACTCCGAGAAGAGGAATCAGATTGCGATATTGGTGAGAGGAGGATGGGAACCCATGGAGTAGTAAAATGATCGGAGCATCCGGCACTTGGCTTTGCTCTCGATAGAAGATCTTGACGCCAGATGGCAAGAGGACGGTTTTGTTCTCTGTCACGCCCATGGTGGATGTAACGTACCCAGGCAGGTATTGTTGGAATATAGAAGTATTTGAATTGCTAACAGGATGAGAGAGGGTCTTTAAATACAGCTTAGCTGCTGTAAGAGTACCAATCCATCAGGATGCAAACACCGGGATCGTCGGGGAGCATTCTCACCCTGCTTCCATGGATGTCACTTGAACTTCATTTTGACTCGAACATGGGGAGCCACATATATGCAGTTGTTTCCGGGCACGACTATGATGCAAACACCCCTTTCAAGATTGGCGGCACGTCATTTGTCATTCAAGATCTGCATTGAGATTCGGGTCGTGGATGTGGTTGGTCGCTTGTGTTTGTACCGTGGCTGTTTAGCTCTCGGTCAAACCAAGCAAACCAAACAAACGTGTCTAGAACGCCGTGGCCTAAGTAAATCCTATCCCATGGGAGGCGCGTAAAAACTATATTATGACTCCCTTCTAGACGCCATAAATAATGAGATAATACAGATATCATAGATTATCTTATCATTTGCCTCCTAATGAACTATATAAGAAGCGAAGACTTCTATATATAATAATATAACTAATTTATAACCTTATTATTATTATCTGAGTTACCTATTTAGGAGAAGTATAACCATCCATGGATATATATATATATTATATAAAGCTCACCTAATATCCCTTCCCTACTAAATATTATAACCTACTATTAGGCTATAATATATTATCTGCTAAATTGCTTACATATAGATTACCTCTAATTAAAATATAATTTCGGTATAATCTAAATAGGACCCTAAATTTTATATTTAAGGCTTTATATAGGCCCTTAAGGACTCAGAGTTTTAGAAGGCAGGGGTCTGCTTTTTCCTCCACTGCAGAAGGGTCTAATGCGTTAATATCTCAGATAATATCACTTATACTGCATCGATCATTTTCAAAAACAGAAAAGTGAACGTGGACAGGTTTGTTATTGACAAGTGCCTTCATATCAGATGCCGTTTGATCCGAGTACGCGATGTCAACCTCAGTGAACCGCCGCTTGGCATTGTAAGAGCTAATATGAAGGAATTTCTCTCGCTCCTCTCGACTCTCTACTCTCCGAATACCCTACTTATGCCCGGGACTCCTAACCATTCCTAACCCACATACATTATTCACTATGAAAGAATGATTCCTTGGAAGATCTTGTAAGATTTCTCGGATGTTGAACCCACTAGGCAAGAAGATTATATAGTAGGTTACCCACGCCAATCCAAAACCAATTGCGGGTTACGAAAGCGATATCCATTCCAACCTAGGATCAGATCACACAACGTTGATATGATACCGATCCGTCAAAGGCACATCAACATGAAGCACTAGCTTCTTATTCTCAGCATCGTACTCGGCATCATGGAGTCTCTTCGGTTCGCGCTCCACGCCAAGGACAGTGATAGCCTCAATAGTGACGCCAGCCTCGTACTCAAACGAGCCAGTCATGCTGAGCTTCCCGTGCGCGTACTTGAAATCGATCTCTGACACGGCGTCCTGCACAACCGACTGGCCGTCGTCGAGGTACAGCGAGCCCTCAGCGCAGCCATCGAGACCGGGCGCAACGACAATGTTGAAGCCCTTCTTGCGCAGCGCGGTGGTGGTGTTGGCGCTCTCGATGCGCTGCGGGTAGACAATGCCGCCCTTGTAGTGTACCGTGATGTCGGTGTAGTCGACCTCGGCGGAGACGTACTCGCCGCGCCCGCGGACGGGCTTGCCGGTGCCCCATTCGTAGAAGATGTCGTCGGGAAGGTAGTAGTTGACGCTCGTGCTGTTCTCCTCTGTAACAGGGCTGACAAGGATGCCGTCGCCGTAGAAGAACTGCAGGTCGATGGGGTAGGTGTTGGGGTCGTTCGGGTAGTTAAAGAACAGAGGGTTAAGGGCCGGGGTACCGGTCTGGTTCTGTTTGTAGATGGCGGTGTAGATGTAGTCGACTGAATCATTATTAGTTTTAACTTCCTTCTCGGGGAGGAGACTGCATGCATCACTTACGGAGCTGGTATCTGATGGAGATTCCTTTGCGCGCGGCCTCAGCGACTGTCGGCCAGCGGTAGAACTCTTGGGGATTCGCGAAGATTTCGGCGTGGTTGCGGAAGAATGTGTAGAAGGATCCAAGAGCTGCCCACCTGTTGATTCATATTAGCTAGAACCTCCTATATGAAGGGAGATTCAGTCCTTACCTAGCACAGAGCGTCTCCGTTACATTACCACCGAACCCGCAAACATCGGGGCCCACGACGGGGATTTGGTACAACGACGCGAACTGCAGAATCTGGCTGATGGATATGCGGTACCAAAGCCACCCGGAAACATTATCTGCAGAGTATTTAGCATTGGGTCGTTGTTAATATTGAATAAGCAGACGCCAGAAGCATTCTTACCACCAAGCCAGTGGGACACGTCCTTGCCGGAGCCAGCAAATGTGCTTCTCGTAATTACCAAAGCGCGGTCATCCGGGCGCCGGGCACGCATGGCATTGTGGGAATGCGAGGACATCATAGCGCCATAAAGGTTGTGGGTATCATATTGAACGTATCCGCCACTCTGCACCAGATCGGTGTCGGCAGTGCTGTCAGCAAGCGTGGGTCCTGCGCCGTTCTGAATCATGAACGGTGGCCTGATTAACTCGCGATTTGGAAGACCCTTGCACTCCTCAGGTCCGCAGCCAGAGCCAGTTTGTCTGCCGTGCTGCCAGCTGGCACTCGAGGGAGCCCAGTGCGGCCTGGTGGAGCGCCAATGACCAGCACCGAGGTTGCGGCGGGAACGAGATCGAGGTTGATCATGTTGAACAACAGCAGTTGCACGCTTCTCATTTGCGTTACCGGGAGCAAAATTTGGCTGAAGACTGTCCGGGAACCCAGGGATAGGAGCATCCGGCCCATCTCGGACTGGTGGCGGCTTCGGAGGGTCACCATCCACCTCCGCGAAATTCTCCGGGGTGGTGTTGTTGCCAGGGTAGGGGCGGTTGAAGAAGTTTGCGGGCTCGTTCATGTCGATCCATAATGCGTCAATGTCCGGACCATTCGTTCCGTCGAAGAACTCCAAAAACTGCTCATTCCAGTACTGCTGCGACGCGGGATGGAACCAGTCAGGGAAGTAGCTCGGACCGGACCAAACGACTCCCTGGTATTCGGAGCCATTCTTTTCCTTCATGAAAGTATCATATTTAAGACCTGCATCGAGCGCCGGGTTGGACTCCTTATAGAATACGGCGGGGTCCACCATGACTATGTAATGTTGATCCCTCGAATGGATTGTGTCCACCAGGTCTTTGTACAAATTGGCCGGGAACCTTTCTGGGTCAATGGTGAAGATGCGCCGACGGTCCATGTAATCGATATCTGTCCAGATGGTTTCCAGAGGAATGTTGTTGGAGGAGTAGTTGGCGGTGACAGCGGCAACCTCGTAGACGTCTTGGTAGCCATATTTGCACTGGTGATAACCAAGTCCCCAATAAGGAGTCATCAACGGGAGCTGAGTGATTTCCGCGTACTGAATGGCCACATCGCGCGGGGAGGGGCCAGCAATGAAGTAAAAATCAAGAACACCGCCGATGATGTTGTACTCGAGGTACTGACCACCCTTGTTGTCGATGAAGATATCCATGCCGTTGGAGTTGAGTAGAAAAACTCCGTGAGTGCCATCCTGCCTGTGGTCAAAATAAATTGGGTGAGCGCCGTATAGGTTCTCGCCCTGAGGCGTCCCGTAGGCATCGCGGGTGTAGATCGTCCGGGTGTAGTTCGTCGTGTTCAGCATGAACGCGTCGCTGTGCTCGCCCAGTCCGTACAGATGCGGGTTCTGTGGCAGGTGTGTCTTTAGATAGACATATTGACTCTCGAACACCAGCTTGTTGCCCGTGGTATCGAAGATCACCTCGCCGGTATCAGTCCGAGATACGGTGAACGAGAAGGGGTCTGCGTTGAAGTTGAACTTGAGCTTGGCGTCCTTCGGGGAACACCATTGGCCGAAACCGGGGCGCGGGAAGACACTGTCTGGAACCTGGTAGACCGTGTTGTTGGTGTCCAAGATCTTGACGTGGAGTCGATCGTTGGTCTGATACTCCACCTCCAGCTTCAAGTCTGGGAGGTCAGTCCCGAAAACATTGCATGCCGGCCCTGCGAGAGAAAGTTCCGCGTAAAAGCCAGAACGAGTCTCCCACTGCTTTGTCGCCTTGTATCCTGGGCATTCGGACAGGTCCTTTTCGTAGAGGTCATTGCCGGGGTCATCGAGATCCTCGATACCAGCCTGGCTCTGGGCCCAGACGCAGCCACTCAGGACTGCAGCCGAAGTGAGCAGCTTCTTGAGGTACATGCTGAGGTCTTGGATAGTGAGCGATGTCACGTACGCATACACCCCTTATATACTTCTTTCGGTTCCCTTTGCCAAGATGGACCGTGTGGTCAATGTGGAGACTACGGCATTTCCCAAGGCCGCGATCCCCATCCCAAAATAGGGTATATAATTTCAACCGTCCAACCTTAGAGCGGGAGACGTTCATTGTTTCTGTCACTCTTGAGGCCACTGTCCCATCAACGTCGAGATCTCGGTGGGCTACCTTGCCCCGGCATTCGCAGTAAATACATGGGTTTAATCTGCAGATCAAAACAAAGCAGCAACATAAACCCCGCTCAATGAAAGCCAGCGATGATCCCCCTTGGCATTTGCCAAGTGCTCCGGTAAAAGCCCGAGAAATGATGCGGTGAACTCCACTCCGAAGACGAAGACAGCGATACTGTTGGCGTCGACCGCTTTCTAGTCCTCCGGCAAATGTCCGCAATTGCGGGGCTCTATGGCCCCCCACGCTTTGTTTGAATGTCTTCTATAGTTTCATGATCTCAGCCTCCCCAAGCTCTTCATAGCCGTGGTGGGGGGGGAATATGTTATGTACCTAGGTAGCTTATTGATACTATGTTGTACGGTATTTGTATAGTAAATTTAATAGCAAATTAAACATTAATAATGCATACAGGTATGAGATGCTGTATAGCTATCTGCCCTATGAAGGAAGGTATTCCAAATTCACCTGACCTGCCACCATAGAGCCAATTTATTGATTCCAACCCCACCAACTAATTTTCTGGAAAAAAATTCTAAATCGTAGATAGAAGCATCCATCCAATTCATTAATTTAAGCCATTAATTTAAGCAAAAAAATGCTCACACTCGGAGTCGAACCGAGGATCTCATGATTACACATAGGTACTAGTCATGCGCTTTACCACTAAGCCATGCGAGCTGATTGATGAAAGCCTGGCTCATCTTTGCCTATATAAGGCTGGGTTCAGAACAGACGAGGATCTCATCACTAGTGACAAGAATAGTCGGCCACATCCTTGTCGTGTCTTTTTAGACGTCTTTGTTTTAGATATCTTCCCCCCCTTTTTAAGATTTGTAGGTAAGGCGGGAAAAGGCGGGAAACGACTTGTCATGTATATATAACCTTTGATGTGCTTTACCCCTGAACCATGCGAGCGAGCCAACTCTTTCCTTCTTAAGCTATATAAAGGTACGCGTTAGAAACAGAGCATATAAACTAAAAAACGCCTCACTCTTTACATCTCAAACGGGATGCAGATTAGCTATTTAGTTAAAGCACCCCAAATAAAACCTAATCATGTTAGAATGCCGATGACTCCACTATTACTATTACTATTAACCAAGATCCTTCTACAAAGTAAGTATATAACACTAAACTATAAATTACTACCGTGCATGCTTATTTCATATCATCCCTGGTTATACATGGAAAGATCATCTTGCGCATTTTAAGGCGTTTTACCGTCTATATTCTTTCTACACCAATAAAGGGGGGATATCTAAACAAAGGACATATAAAAAGACTACCATCTAGCCAACTGGATGTCTTTCTCAAGGATAGAGGCTGCCGGCCGACTATTCTCATGATCCAGTTGACTCAATGGTAGTCTTTTAGATGTCTTTTTTTGTCGTCTTCTCCCCCTTATTAATTTTCTAGGTGGACGGCATAGAAAGGCGGAAAAAGGCTAAACTTGTGAAATCGACTTTTCTATGTTGTATATCCATGGATATATCTTGATTTCTAAAGCCTACTTAGCTAGGCTTATATAGGCAGAGATCTGCCAGGCTTCCACCAATCAGCTCGCATGGCTTAGTGGTAAAGCGCATGACTAGTACCTATGTGTAATCATGAGATCCTCGGTTCGACTCCGAGTGTGAGCATTTTTTTGCTATTCTTTTACACGAGAATAGTCATAAGCGGCCTCGTCATGTGTTTTTGTTAGTTTAGATGTCATTTAGATATCATTTTTTATATACCTTCTCTCCCTTCTCAATATTTACAGCTAGACGGCAGAAAAATGCGGAAAGAGGCCTAAAATGGGTGGTCTCCAATATATATGAGTCTATTTCCTAAAAAATAATTTTCTACTGTTGCATGTATAATCTTAAGAGGGGGGAGAAGATATCTAAAAAAAGACATCTAAAAGACATGGCAAGGCGGCTTATACAGCTGACTACTTCTATGGTGTACAGCGATAATCCATTCAATATATATAGGTGATATACATACATACCAGAACGGGGTTATGTTCAAAAATGTGGGCACCTACATATCCATATCTCACCTTTTATCTAAAATAAATAAGGCACGAGACGCATTTTCTAGGTATAATATTTTATCCTAGAAAGAACAAAAAAAAAGTGCCTCCTGTCGGGATTGATCCGACGACCTTGCCATTTGGTAAGAATATATACGAGTGGCACGCTCTACCACTGAGCTAAAGAGGCCCACTATCAGCAATTTTGGCTAGATAGGACATCATCATCTTCATAGGTTTATATTGATATAGGTACCCATAATATTTTAACCTTTCTCAGAAGGTAAACGCTGTTGGCACATCACTATTGGCACAATGGTCTAACTTATACATGGGAAATGTCTTGATTCCACAAATTAAGCCTTCATCCGCCTTTTTCTGCCGTCTATCTGAGAAGGGGGAGAAGACATATAAAAAAAGACTACCAAAAAGACAACACAAGGCCGCTTATGCGGCCGGCTACTCTTGTATGTTATATTAGGAATTATCATCATTTCTTAGCCCTATTATGCAATTGGCTTATCTTCCTACGGCTCATGAAGCCGCTTTAGTTACTAAATGACCGAGAGCCCTAGCATCACCAGGAATATCTGTCAGACTATATATATATATATATATATACGCGCCTTATTTGATACCATATGGCTGAGCATAGTGCCTAGCGTAGCTTCTTCTGGCTGAACGTCAGCATTCTCGGATTGATGCTTCTGCTTCCGACCTTCATCTACCTTCCTTTCCCCCGAGTAGTTCAAGTTGGCAATTGGATGGAAACAACATCAAGACTGTTGTTCTTGGCTTCTGGATTCCATAGAAGCGGCTGTCCTTGCCCATCGTCAAGCTGGCCGCGTTCTCGTGGCATGGTCCGCTAATTGTTTCCTCATTTAACATCTCAATCTCACCCAGAGTCAAGCATTTGCAGAACCCCCCTACAACTTCGATAGGGAAACGGTTGGCTATTTCAACTTCGCTATTTTGATCGGGAGTTTTATTGGATCGGCCACCAATGGTCTTCTTTCGGATTGGATCTCCATGAAGGCCACCCGGAAGAACCGCGGCATTCGAAAACCTGAAATGCGTCTGCCGACAATGCTTCCATGGGTCATCACCTCGACCATTGCAAATTTCGTTGTTGCGTCTGGATAATAGTATGAGTGGGACTGGAAAGTGAGTGCAGTCATTCCTTGCTCGGCGGGTGTTCGACTAACTGGTCCATGCATAGACCATCGTCTTCATTGGATACACTGCAGCAGGCATCATCCGGGTTGCAGCCCTTCTGGCTATTACCAGCACATATGCATTTGACAGCTATAAGCCTGTGGCTGGCTCGATTTTCGTGTCTATCACTGTTAACAAGAACCTCTGGGGCTGTGGCTTCAGCAAATCCATCACCTCGTGAGTGGAAGAAAGTGAGTTTGTTAAGCCAATCATGTTGAACATGTCATTGACAGTATTGTGGTATTTCTGCGCCATCCCCTTCTACTTATATGGTAAGAGGTTCCGGGGATGGACGGCCAAGTCTTGGGTCTACAAGACGCAATAGCTGGATTAAAGGCTCCAAGATATGTAATGTGAAATGAGACACGGTTGGAAAAAAAAAATCGAATAGCTTTTTGTGCTGTTGTAGCTGGTATCATTATGAAAATCGAATGCAACGCCCGCTTTAAAAACATTCAATCGTCATCTTCGTCGGGGTCGTAGAGATCAAGGTCTAGCATCGCCTTGGGCTTTGGTTTCGGTGCTGGCGCTGGAGCATGCGCCCGCGGCATTCCGGCGGCTGATGAACCCGCTTGAGCTGCAGCCTTCGCAGCCTCACCCGCATGCTTTGTGCTTTCCGCGGGTTCCACCGGTGCTGGCGGTTCTGCGGCCCCAAGACCCTCAGCTTCGCGTAATAACCGCTCCACCTCCTTTTCGGGATCGTCGCCAGCAGCAAGCTGGATTTGACCCATCAATCCCATCCGTATCCGTTCCTCCATCGGGTAGGGTAGCATGTAGACCTGGCGCGTAACATTCGCGGACTCGTCCAACCACTGGGTTGCATTCTTGGTGACAGATGCCACTGGTTCTGCGCCATCCTCTGTTGGTTGTTCCCCATTTGTTCCCGTCATCGTCACATCTTTGTCAGCGAGGGTATTTCCTTGTTCCGGCCGTTTCACAACGCCTGTTGCGGCATCAGCTGCTGCTTCGTGGTTGTATTTGCTGATGCGACGTGCGAAATCCAAGAGCAACCTGTAATCAATCTCTTTGATTCCACGTAGCAATGATTTCTTTCCCCCAAGGTCGTCATCGGAGTCAGAATCGAAATCGCTGTCGCTGTCGCCGTTGTCTCCACAAGCTGTGCGGATCTCTTTCTCGAAGCCTTCAATGTCCCCCACAATGCCCTTGACTCTGTCCTCCAATTGTTGTGCCTCATTTCGCAGTCGAAGGATCTTTGCGTGGTTTTCTTGGTGCTGTCGAAGGGTTTCAATGGCGGAGGTTAGCACATCGTCCGCATCGAGCAGGGCGACAGCTGCTGCGGGCGCTCCTGAAGCAGTGGGAGAGGTTGTGAGGCTAGTCAGAAGAGCATTGAGTTTGGATTCGACATCAGTCAGGGCAGACTGGACAAGTGCGTTCATTGTTGGGTTGTGCTCTTGAGAGAACAACTGGCGCGTGGAAATGAACGGGCCGAGCTCCGATGACAGGTCACGTGGATAGTAACAACTGAGCGATAAATGCGATTGTAATAATTACATGATGACTTTCTGGGGGAGGGTTTCTTTTGAATCGTTTTCTGAGAGTGTATCTATTGCACAGTTAAATTTCATCCTTCTTCTCACTGCCCAGGCGGTCCGAGTGGGGGTGATAGAGCTCCCCGGGTATATAACGATCGCCCGGCCACTTGAAACCCCCCGGATTTTCTCAACTTCCAACTACTGTTCGATGGAAAAATGACCGAGTCAAGTTTGTCATCCGCTCAAGTGGACTTGAGTCCATATGTGACCATTCAGCCTCCTATTTCCCGCTGTGGACACGGTCCAGGACTGATTCTCATACGACCTCTTTGTTACGCGACATGCCAGCAGCAAAACAAGACGCTTGATCCAGAACCTCTCAAAAAATGGGCAGAGGAAAGCTTTACAGTGGCACAGATTACCGTGGATGAGAAATCTGCCATTGAGATATCATCTCTACGGGGGCTTCTTCAAGAAGCGGAGTGTGGCTTAACAGAGAGGCTAGAGTGCGATACGAAGGAAAAGGTTGGATTGATAGGTACGGAAGTGTCAACCCGGCAATTTCACTAGACTTTACTGACTTCAAATCAGTTTATGGATCAAAGAAAGATTATGCTCCTCAATTCGAAAAGAGCCTGCAAGGTGCACTCGTTCAAGGCACGGCTTTGATCGCCGTAGTATTCTTCGACTCTTGGGACATTCCCTTCTTCCGGTCAACCCTTTTCCAGCTGTCTAGTCCAATGGAAGGTGAGAAGAATGAAGGGCAAACTATACACATATACTCCGACGTATCCTCTCCCGGCTTCATGATCCCCGGCCACCCGGATTTCAAGATATCGACAGCCGGAGTAAGTCATACGCGGAGCGTCGGATTTGTTAAAAAGCACATGGGTGGCCCACTCTTTGACCTTGAGAAAATCTGGGACGAGCACACCTATTATGAATTTGAAGCACGCTCGGTCGAAAAGACAATGGCGACGATGGTCTCGGAGCCTTACGTGAATCATGTGCCAACTCTAACAGGAGGCATCGGACGAGCTCGTTTAAGTCACTTTTATCTCAATCACTTCATCTTCAACAACCCCGACGACACAGCCTTGGAGCTTATTAGTCGGACAGTCGGCACCGACCGAATTGTGGACGAGTTTATCTTTGTCTTCACTCATGTGAAGCAGATGGACTGGCTGTGAGTTATTAGGTTCCTGTGATTGAATCGAGCAATTGGCTGACGTTTTCACCCCTAGGATCCCCGGAATCCCTCCCACGGGCAAGCACGTTCGCGTTCCATTCACATCTGTAGTCAATATCCGCGGAGATTGCTTGTTCCATGAACACATTGCATGGGACCAAGCGACAGTACTCGTGCAGCTGGGTCTGTTACCCGAATATCTGCCTTTTCCATATGCGCTGCCCGATGGATCTGTGCCAGCACACGGGAAACGATTCGAGTATCGTGTGCCAGCAGCGGGCGCCGAGAGTGCCACGAAACTCCAGAATGAGCATGAAGTGGCTTCTAACCAGATGTTCAAGTATAAGATTCGCGAGGTCGATGATTGAGGGATTAATCCATGTTACAGTGTAATAAATGAAGAACAACCCGTTCTAGGCAGCAATCGTATACAACTTTCGGAATCTCCGTGTCTCCGTCTGACGGGGCGTGATGTTGCAGTTCTCAGAGTACCCCGCAGAGTCTGTGCTCGCCAACCATTCCCTCGAGCTAGGAGCGGAGCTCAACTCTGGATTTAGTGTAGCGTTGACGGATTGGAATACGGATTCCGGGGAAATCCGTTCTCTTATTGGTGTGTTAATGCCGAGCCCCAAAGCGATGTCTCGCTTTGACATCATCGCGCATTTTGGTCGTAAAATGGAACTGACCGCTGATCAGATTTCCACATGGCTAGGTATGTATGCAGCTTGGATCATGATAATTGGTAGGGAAGTTTACTAGTATAGGTAACCTCTTCTCCGTTGGACCATCACATACTCCACTCGGACCTATGGATTGAAATACATAGATTATTGTCCAGAACCTGACCCTGACCCCGGGTTTTTGACTACTATATTAATATAAACCCAGAAGCTCTAATGGTCCTATCTTCCCCGCGTTTTTAATTCTGCTCTTCTGGGGTCAAAATGGTCATTGTGTTACTGCTGACGCTAGCTTCAGCGTGCCTGGCCTCCAAATTACCTGTGGTTGATCTGGGATATGAGCGACACCAAGCAATTTCATTCAATGTCAGCTAAGTCTCCTTTGGTTTTATTTTCATTATCCCTGACATTCGAAATAGAGCTCCCATGGCCTCTATAATTTCAGCAATATCCGCTATGCGGCACCTCCAGTTGGCGACCTGCGATTCCAGGCACCTATACTTCCAAAACAAAACAGAGAACACATCCAGAATGGCTCCGTGGGAAAGATATGCCCACAGGCAGCCCCATTGTGGTCGACAAATGTCCAACAAGTCTTCCTTTTGAGCTACTTCTATAACCAGTCCTTCTCCCTATCCACCAACATCTCTTCCTATGGGTACAAGCCGGCGGAGCAAGACCCACGCACCACTGAGGACTGTCTATTCCTTGACGTCGTTGTCCCTAAAAAGATATTCGATCGCACAAAAGATAAAGTTGCAGCTTCTCGAAAGAACTTGGCGCCGGTGCTGGTGTGGATCTATGGCGGAGGGTATGTGGGGGGACAAGGGCAGCTCAGACCCAACTGGGTTGATCCAACGAAGTAGGCTGGAAAATAATGATGGGATTGTCTACGTTGCCTTGAATTATCGAGTAAGTCGAACGATATTCCTAGGTCGATGCCCGTGAGAATACTAATTTCTCTGGAGTTGGGTGCATTTGGCTGGCTTGGTGGTGACAGTATCACAGCCAATGGCACCGCCAACGCAGCACTCCATGATCAACGGTTTGCTCTTGACTGGGTATATAAGAACATTCACCTTTTCGGTGGAGATGCAACCCGAGTTACAGTTATGGGAGAGTCTGCTGGAGCCGGATCAATCCTTCATCAGATCACCGCTTATGGAGGCACACGGGGCGCTGTACCCTTCAAACAAGCGATCTTGCAGAGCCCAGGCTGGGTCCCAGTCATTGGAGAAGAGCAACAAGAAGACACGCTGCAGCAGTTTTTAGGGATTCTCAACGTCAGCACGATTGAACAAGCCCGGAAATTGTCATCGGACAAATTGATCGCTGCCAATGCGTACCAGGTCGCGACCAAATCTCAGTGGGGACAGTTCACCTACGGTCCCGTTGTGGACGGCAGCTTTGTGCCTGCTCTGCCGGGGCAGCTTTTGCTTCGAGGCGATTTCGATCACAACCTGAACGTCATGGTCGGCCATAACGCGAACGAAGGGTTGATCTTCACTTCGCCGGACAGCGTCAATAGCACCGGTCTGGCAATTCAAATGAAGAGCTTGTCACCGAATACTCCAGCAAATGTGTCCGACTTTGTCTTGGATGTCCTCTATCCACCGGTCTACAACGGCTCCTATGGATACACCGACTCGGTCGCGCGTACCGCGCTCGCCATCTCCGATCTTATCTTCCAGTGCAATACCGATTATATTAACCGTGCTTTCTACAATGAGACCTATGCGTATGAGTTCAGCATTCCGCCCGCGCTACATGGCCAGGATGTCTCGTACACCTTCTACAACAATGGGAGTAGCACTTCGCTCTCAGGGGTCGCTAATGTGACAGTGGCGTTGGCTATGCAGGACTACTTTACTAGCTTTGTCCAGCATGGCACGCCAAAATCTCATCTGGCACCGGTCTTCAGACAACATGGCCAGCATGCTCAGCTTATGAACATTGGCAATAATACCATCCAGCCGACCCGGGACCTGACCAATAACGCACGCTGTCGGTACTGGCAAACTGCGCCCTATTATAAGCCAAGCTGAGCTTGCATTGTCTTATGGGCACAATGTTTAAAGGATGTTTATGTTGTAGTAGATAAGCAGGGTCAATTGGTGGGAATTTCAGGGGTAGAGTTGAAAGTTTTGAGACAATTAATTGAGAATGGCAAGATATCCTTCGCAAACGGAGTACTCCGTACAACCTCTGTACAAACTCCACGTGGTAAATGGATTATGCCGATTGGACTACTCCGTGTTCGTGAATAAAGTAATAGCCTGGGAAGACCAACTCTTCAACATGGAAGTCAGATGATTAATTCGTTCTGAGACAACAAACTTGAACAAAATTGGCGACCCTGGCCCATTGGGAGAAAGTGCACACAATAAAATAGGACAAAGGCGTAAGAGCTGGGCTTTCTTACTTTGCCAAGCTTTTGAAGCTCTTAAAAAGGCTTTTCAAATGTTGTTTTATCCTATCACACTTCACACCTCCGCGCTAAAAATTCCCCAGTGTTGGGGCCCATGCAACGTTGGATTTTCAGGGTCTAACAATAAAATGCATTAGACGCATCTTCAATCTTCTCGATAACTAATGGTCTGCAAACTTTCCGATCACTTGATCATTTGCCACATTAGGGCTCGGAACTCCAACGTCTTGGATGTCGATCTATAGCCCTAGAGGGTTTGGCATACCCCATTGCATAAGAATAAAAAATAGAAAGTCGGTTTGCTCGGGTAGTCACGAAGGATTACGCTAGAGCAAAGCCCCCGGGGCCGTTAGTGTGGTAATGTGCTAAGCCATCCATGGATACCTAGGGTACCTAGGATAGGCGGGGGATTGGTCAAAATGGAGTACGTACATACTTAGGCAGCAGGGAAAACTCTCCCAAGGTTTCAGATCGGCACTATCCACGGGTTCTAATATTTATTTAATTTACACTTCTCCAGAGTTACATGAGTCCGGTCTACATGAAGAGAAAGAGAAAAGAAGTTTGAGACATTTATGAAATTTTCAGGTGAGGCTCTTGGATAATAATTGACAAGAGTCAAAGATACTAAGAATAGCCCAATAATAGGTCACTAATGGTCACTAATAGGCCACTAACAGCCCACTAAAAAGGAGTGAAACATAAAGGTGGGGGCGTAAAGTAACGCTAAGCTTTGCCCTGTCCCGAGTCTATTATAGTTAGTACTACAGTTAGTACTATGGTTGTATTATAGTATAGTTATTAAACATCTGCCTAGCTAAGACCCTTGGAAGGCTAAATCTATAAGCTCTCTTTTTTTCCTCTTCTCTTCTTTTATTCTTTTCTTCTCTCTTCAAGGTGTTCACTCTCTCTACCTCAGTCTTCGCTCTATTTCTGTCCTTCACTTCATAATACCCCAAATCAAACACTATGCAGCTGCTGTGGACAATCCTCTGCCTGGGCAATGCCCTCGCCTCTTCCATCCCGCACACTTCTCATCAACTCCGACTCCCTTTCGTTCCTTCTTCCGACAATCTTGAAAATGGTGTCAGATCAAGACTCGTGGGTGATCCATCGATATTTTATCGATTAATCGCTAGAATACTAATCCAATATAGTCAATCAATTTGTCCATTCAGAATGGAAGTCTATACGCCAATGAACACCAAGTCTATCCTCCAACAGAGATAATGCAGCTCCATGCGCCCCTCTACGAAAGCGCAAACCAAATCGATCCCAGTGACAACACCGTGGAATTATCCTACACCCTCGACACTCAACCACTCCCCACAAACGAAATGGGATCCATGGCGGATATGGTCCGCGTGCGAGTCGAGTTGTTTGATCTGCAGGGAAACCTGGTGTCACCGGACGCAGTAGCCGTCGACCTTCTCGCTTACGAAAGTGAAAACTACGAGATGACCCGCATCCGTGTCGAACCGGCTCGTGGCAGCGACCAGGACGGTCATTTATATCAGAAGAGCCAGACGTGGGTGATTAATTACTGGAGGACACAATTCGGTTCCATTTTCGATAAGCCCAAGACCAGGTCCACAACCACGGCACCAGCTCATGATTCGGCCCCGGATACGGAATCTTCCGCTCATACCGGCGCTACCAAGGTCACCAGCAGCGAAGCTACAACCGACTCTGGATCTAAGACTCATTTCTTCTCGTTCTGGGCCACTCCGTCTGACCTCCACCACCACGCTAAACACCGTCATCCTCACCACAACCGCCATCACAAGAACTCATTTATGCGCATCATCCGTCCCATCATTCTTCCTGCTTTGCTGGGTACTGCTGCCGGGCTGGTGGCTTGCTTGGTCGGGTTCTTCATCGGACAGCTGCTGATGTCCTTGGGGGTGTGCCTTGGATGGCAGAAGGTACTAGGCGACAGGTCGCGGATTATCTCAGTGGAAGAAGGCACGGTTTCTGAAAAGTCCCCCATGATGCCGCATGTTTCCGTGACAGATGCTGCCGAGTCAAATGTATGATTCGGGCTGGGCGATATGGGCGGCATCTGATTTTCGGCTTCTTTTACGGCGTTTTCTTGCATTAACATACCCTCATACGACTGTTTCTCTTTTCTTTCTGTTTACCTATCTCTTGATGCTGATCTGTATCTATGACTCTATTAAATACGCCTGGAAATGAGCATCATCTGGATGAAATATATCCAATATCAATATCCCCCGTATAGTGTACATTTAGACAAAAGTCACACAATAATAGCACGGCCGGCTGGCCCAATGGCAAGGCGCTTGACTACGAATCAAGAGATTGCAGGTTCGATCCCTGCGTCGGTCACTATTCTTTTTGCTTGTTCTGGTGTGTTGATGAAATTTTTGTTCGACTCCACCGGACCCAGCCCGAGCCGGTTCGGCATCGCCGAGGAGGGTTTACGGTTGGATATTAGGCATCCGTATTTTTCGCATTGCCGCCTGGGCATCCAGTCTCATGGACTTGATAATAAACTTCCATTTACGGTGTTTAGTTCCATTTTCATAGAAGGGGGTTGGGATTGAGAAATTGCTATATTTAAAGATTTTTTGATTTAGGCTGATCGATCCACTTTTTCACTTTTTATGGCTTCGGGTATAAAATATATATCATACAACATTGAATTTTGTATAACTAAATGAACATCAACAAGTCATCAGTCCTTTCGATCGAACCACATCTTCTCTCCATTCAAAGCGGGCTCCACATCCAGGCCCATTGCGGTGGCAATTCCATTGGAACCCACTATGAATTCCGTTGCGTAGTAACCAGAGAGAGATCCGATTTCCTTGGGCTGGTAGTAATGCGCCACAAAGAACTCCCCGCTTGCATGAGCGAGAGTCATAAGGGAAGGTACAGCACGGTCCAGTAGATCTGCAACCAAACACCCATTTTTGAGGGATAGAGTGATAGAACTGTACGCAGGATGCTCGTATCTTCCTGCATACTGGTTTAACTGTAGAGAATGGGAAAGAACAGGATCGGGCAGAGACGGATAAAGCCGTTTGATGGCTTCTTCCATACACTCGGACTTGGTTTTGACCTTCCTGTTTTCCCACTCTGTTGCCTGGCCCACTGAGCGCGGGATCCCTGATCCGCCGGAAATCCGATCCAGAAGGTGCATGTAGATCTCCACCTGCGCATTCCGGGCATTGCTCGTGTTACCCATCATAGCAAAGCCAAAGCCGTTGCTCGGTAGGAAGCCCACCATGATGCCGAATCCGGGCCAACTCCCGCTGTGCCAGTAAAAAGGTTCGCCGCGGTAACTATCCGCAAACCATCCCAGGGCATAGAGATGACATGGGGCAGGAGGAGGTCCGACGAGCTCATCCCAATTCGTGATCACCGTGCGTGGCTTCAAGAGTTCTGCATGGCCCTGTGGAGAGATGGGACCCTTTTGGTAGATCATCGCGCGTAGCCACTTGGTGTACTCGAGTACGCTGCTCACCATGGCGCCGGCTCCAGTTATAGCGACATCGTTCATGTAGGGTTCTGCGATGTAGGCGTTGGTGTCTGGGTCCCAGGTGTAGCCCTGCACGAGTCGAGGACGAAGCGACGGGTCCCCCTTGACATCTGTCACGGAGAAATACGTGTCATTCATCCCCAATGGATCCCAAATGCGTTTCTTGAGAGTCTCGCCGAGAGGTCTGCCTTCGATTTGTTCCAATGCATGAGATACCGTCATATACATGTTGTTGTTGTAGGAGAAGGTAGTGCGGGGAGCATAGGCTATAGGAAGATGTCGCAAATTTCGAACTGCTTCACGTAGGGATCTCTGGGGATGCACTAAATTTAAACAAGCGTCGTGAGTTGATAGCCCTGAGCGGTGCGATAGAGCATCTTCTATGGTAGTATGCATTGTGTTGTAGTCGTTCTCCAGCACAAAATCATCTCTCAGTATGGACGCAATTGGGGTGTCCCAGCGAAGGGGGGACTCGGTATTCTTGCTATCGTCGATGGCCAGAGACATGGCCGCTGCGGTGAATGCTTTGGTGGTGCTACAAGTAGAGAAAAGAGAATCGGTGGTCATCTTGCGATCAGGAAACTCGGCGAATCCATACGCCTGAAATGTAGTTTAGTGATCTGTAATAATCCAGTAAATTATGCCTCCATACTTTTGACCAGGTGCTGGAACCATGAACCACTGCCATGGATAGTCCCGGGACTTTCCATTTGTCCATCTGCTGCTGTACCAAGGCATCGAACTCCGAGGTTAATGGCGAGTTTGAACTTCTGAGAACCATTTTGGTAAGCAGATTTGGTTTTGTAGTAATAATTGGAACTCTCTATTTTGCCTTGGAGGTTTTGAATGGAAGTTGGAGGTTTTGAGGGGGAAATCTAGATAAGCGCCTCGTTGGTCCAGGCAGTAGCGTTGGATTCGATGTAACGTTAATATCACTAGTACATTAGTACGTGTTGGGCTTAGCCTATGTGTAGAGATGACAGACCACCGTTGTCAACATGGTGGCAATACTGACAGAACCTCAGCCTTGTGGGCAGGGAGTCAGGGATAGTTTATGCAGGTTCCCAGGTAAAACAGTGCTCAAAGTGGCGTTGACGTTCTGCACGAATAGGAGCTTCAATTGTTGCGGGCTCAGACACCGGGAACATGCTCAACCTTCTTGGCACGTAATCCTAGACTATATCAAAATGCCAACAAGCTGTGCAATTAGGAAATAGAACTGACTCTGGTACTGATCATGGTCACAATTTCACGTGACGCTCTTAAGGCCCATAAAAACATTGGAGGTTTATGGGTTTGTCAAAAGTTATGTGGCTAGGGTGCCTACTTTGTGCAGAATTAATATATTATTGCACGGAGTATGGAGTACGAGTAATCTGCAGCTATAATCAAGTTGATTTACTCCGTAACACTATGTGCATTATCTTTATGTGGAGTCCGCAGTTTCTCGCATCCAATGTGGATGTTTGATTTCGATCTGCGAAAGATTTTAATAGTTTGAAGAGAATAAAAAGAAAAAAGGAAAACAAGGAAAAAAAAGGGAAGGAGAAGATGCAAGTCCAAATGATTTCCATCATAATTGTTATGTATCTCAAATTTCCCAATCCCTTTCCAGGGGGTTATCCCTTGACGAAAGATGAAACAAGCCTTGGGAATCAACACACTGTCTGTATACATGGAGTATCCGTATGTTGTACAGAAGATATAAAAGGGTCCACGGGGAGTACGTATGTACTTAATAATAATAGTAATAATAATATATGTACGGAGTACTCCGTAGTAACTACTGCGTAATAGTAGTGATAAATGTGGCTGTGTTCAGCCACAAATAGCGGTGTCCCAAGTCGAAGTGAGTTTTTCAAATTTCAATAGTGCGATCGGAATGTCTCTGACTATTCGACAGTTCAGATTTATGTAGCCCCAGCTTGACCCCGATTTGGATCTGTCGATCTCCTGAGTTGATCAACATTGTTCAAATCGGAGAAACCGAGGGAACCGAAGGAAGCTTGGAAACCTCATGAACCACTGTTAACCTTGGTTACCCCTAATGATGCAGGCATACGGAGTACTCCGTTCGGTAAAATGGGAGAGCTCCAATAATGGAGAACATCGTGGAACAGCCAAAATCTGAAATCCAATTCGGATGGGGCCTCCTTCCCTGATTGGATGGACCTATACGATCGACATGGAGAAGGGGTGCGAGCTACCTCCGGGGCGATCATCCCCCATTTCAGAGAGCAGATCCAAGATTTGGATATTGTGATGACTTCATATGGGTCAGGCAATTGATTCTCTCTCTCATCGCCACGTTGGGTAGCATAACAATCCCAACTGGCCCTGCGAGGCAATCCACATCTGCATGGTGATTGGGCTTTACCGTCCGCTTCGTCCACTTTCTTCCTCTTTTGTCCACTATGGAGACACAATTTATAGTCTGGGGCAGGTGGCTGGTGAGTTCTGATGCAGATTTTGTTTTTGTTTCTCAGGGCTCTCTTTATAAAAAGACCCCCATCTCCAGTTTTCTTTCAGTTTCCACTTCGCCTTAAAATTCTTCTTACACACTCACCTCTAGAATCCTCACTTCCTTCCCCCAATCTCCAATCATGAAGTCTTTCTCCCCCGTTGCTCTGGCCTTGATGGCCGCCTTTGGCATGGTCGCCGCTGACCCTTCTGCCTCTGAGTGTGCTGTGAGTTCGATTTTCTCCTTCATGTTCAATGTTCAAAGCTAATCCTGTCGCGTTTATAGTCCATGTGTCTCTCCAACATGAGCAAGCAGGCCGCCGATTTGGGCTGCAAGGCTGGTGACCTCGCCTGCCTGTGCAAGAGCGATAACTACAAGTTCGGTATTCGTGACTGCACCAAGGAGGCCTGTCCCAGCGACGACGCCGAGAAGGTTCTCGCTATGGCTATCGCCAAGTGCCCTGGTACGTAACTGCCATTCGTCATTTCCTAACCCTTGATGCGGTAAACTAACATTATATCGCAGGCGGTGTCTCTGGCTCTGACTCCAGCTCTGCCTCTGCCTCCGGCTCTGACTCCAGCTCCACCTCTGCCACTGGGTCCGACGCCAGCGTGACTGGCACTGGCGTCTCTGGCTCCAAGACTGCCACCGGCTCCGACGCCAGCATGACTGGCACTGACGCCTCTGGTTCCAAGACTGCCACCGGCTCCAATGGCAGCGTTACTGGCACTGGTGCCTCTAGCTCCGGTGTTAGCGGCTCTGCTACCAAGACTGGCTCCGTTTCCACCATCACTGTAAGACACACTTCATCTTCTTCTTGAAAATCACGCTGACCGTATCTCTAGAGCACTGACGCCTCCGGCTCCATGGTGACCAAGACTAGCACCGGCTCATCTTCTACCTCCACTGGCTCCGGCAGCGGCTCCGACTCTGGGTCTGGCTCCGGCTCCGACAGCTCTGCTTCTGGCTCCGTTTCCGGCTCCGCTGCTCCCACCTCCAGCAACGGTGCCGCTGCCCCCATGGCCACTGTTGGCAGTGGTGCTATGGGCGTCCTCGGCCTGTTCGCTATCCTTGCTCTGTAAATTTCCCACATGTGAAGACGTAGAGTCCACTCCATGTAACTCCAGGTTAATTTATGGGTTATGATTCATGTGTCGCCGTCGTCTGGCTTGTATAGGTACAATATGGAATGAGTTCTTGATGGGTACAATCATGTTTTGTCTTCTCGTTGCTCTACGGGGCTGTTAATTTAATGTCAATCGAGCTTAATGAATGAAATCTATATTATGGCATCTATCCTCCTACTGTGGTATACTACGTACTGAACGGTTGAATAGTCAATCAACCCATCTTTTTATGCCCGAATTGTCTGGATTGAATGCTTTTGCAGCTAACTATGTATATGTATACATATCACCACATGGATCTACGGATGTATAATAATATGTTCATAACTCGTAGTACCTATATGCATTTATTGTTGGCGTCCCACTGATAAAAGCATGTGGATTTCCATGTGATTGCGACGAGTAGACCGTACCCGTATATATTATTTCCAAGTACTTACACCTGCAAGGATGTAGGCACTTTATATCTGCCCTGCATCTGTGCATTTTAGGAAGGGCTATAGAGAGACGTAGTCCTGGAGTAATAGAACCTAGTCCTAACGCGCTCATCCTTTATTCCGCGGGGAAAACGTGGAGTGATTGAGCTCTCCCGTTCACCCGGACTGACGCACTCGGAGGTCACCGATGTTATAAGAAGAGCATGCCTAATTCAATTCCTACAAAAAAACCACCAAATCATTCCTAAACTCTTCATAATATTTTTGTGCTACAGTACTGTAGACTTCTTTTCTACGTGCTATCTATCGGATCTACTACGGGAAGTCACTTTCTCCGCTGCCGAGCCGAGGCACACTTTCGTCCGGGGAAGACCAGCCGGCTTCGGTTTCTCGGTGTCTTAATCATTGCAAGATCTCCGGTCATTTTTTTTTTCTTATTGCACTATTAATTACTTTTACATCTTACTCTTGGCTCCTGTCCTGTCTTCTGCTCCCTCTTCCCTTTCTCACCCTCCGTCTCCATCCCTATCTCTTCCCCCTTCGACCCGCCCACAATGGCCTCTACCTCCCCCACCACGCAGCAGCTGAAAGACGAGATCAAGGTCGTCGAGACCAAGGCCGTTAATCAGACAATTGTACAGCTGCGCTCTCTTGCGGCTGGTGCGGCTGGTGGTCTCTGCGCTGTGGTCGTCGGACACCCGTTTGATCTGGTGAAAGTGCGCCTGCAGACGGCCGAGAAGGGCATTTACTCGGGTGCCATGGATGTGGTCAGGAGGACAGTTGCACGTGAAGGATTGGCTCGAGTATGATTATGACAAGCACCTTGAATGTTTTGCGACCGAACTGACAATGGTTTCGTAGGGATTGTATGCCGGTGTCTCCGCACCGCTTGTTGGAGTTACCCCCATGTGTAAGTTCTCCAGCATCAGCTATAATGGCTCTCACACCAGCAATTGATCGAGTTATGAGCTAACCAGTCCCGATTTACAGTTGCTGTCAGCTTTTGGGTACGTTTTTTTCTTTCTCCTTTTCTCTTGGAGCCCAGAGCCAGTCGCGATCGCCCATTTGAAAGCGATGCTAACAATACATTAGGGTTACGACGTGGGCAAGACTCTAGTGAACAAGTTCTCCGTCGTCCCCATCAAGAACGACACCCCACAGTACTCCATTGCGCAGATCTCTTCTGCGGGTTTCTTCTCCGCCATCCCCATGACCCTGATCACGGCCCCCTTCGAGCGTGTCAAGGTCCTCCTCCAGATCCAGGGCCAGAAGACTCTGGCCCCGGGTGAGAAGCCCAAGTACTCCGGTGGTACCGATGTCGTGCGCCAGCTGTACAAGGAAGGTGGCATTCGCAGCGTGTTCCGTGGTAGTGCAATGACGTTGGCGCGTGATGGTCCCGGCTCAGCCGCCTATTTCGCGGCCTACGAGTACATCAAGCGCACCTTGACTCCCAAGGATGCTGAAGGCAATGTGACGGGCGAGCTATCCCTATCTGCCGTTGTGTGTGCTGGTGGTGCTGCCGGTGTCGCTATGTGGATTCCTGTCTTCCCTATTGATACCATCAAGTCCCGCCTGCAGAGCGCACCGGGCAAGCCTACCATCTCTGGCGTTATCCGCTCGGTTTACGCTAGCGGCGGTTTCAAGGCCTTCTTCCCTGGATTCGGACCGGCTCTCGCTCGTGCGGTGCCTGCCAATGCCGCCACTTTCCTCGGCGTCGAGCTGGCACACAAGGGCATGAAGAAGCTCTTTGACTAAAGTTGTTGAGAAATGCTTGTTGTGTACATACCATGATTGATCTCTTTTTGCAGCGTTTTGTGTTCCATCCACGGATGGTTGTCTGCGACCATGATTTGACTTTGATTGGTTCGCATCTTTCTGATCATGTCTCTTGTCATTTTAGACCTTTGGTTGATTCTGATATTCTATAGAAGGTCATTCTTTTGTCTGTGGTTTCTGGGAGTTGGCCATGTCACATTAGATCTAGAATGTGTACAACGCTGGAAGCCTTGGGAAAATTCTATCCGCAAATATAATTTGTAGGAATTTATCGATAGGATAAAGACAGCATACACACTTTCCCAAACACAAAATAATACTTGAGGCTCAAAAGGGTGGGGGGGGGGGGGGGTTCACTCCACATCTGCGCTATATCCGAATGGGATCAAAGGAGCGAGTGGAAGGATTGGTCGAGCCAGCCCTCGCCTATGAGCGTGCTCTACAGCCTGAACTTAGCGCTAACATATCGGGGGCCATAGCTGATCGGGGGCGATGTTTGGTCGGCACGGAGGAATTGGACCCCGATGATCTAAGGGGGTTCTATATTTATAACACCTAATTATGATTTGAACCTTTCAAAAGTACCTTTGTAAATAGTAAATATATGGCCATCTTAGTAGAGAGCAAAGAAAGTGTTCAAGTTTCAACTACAACTGGGTGTGGAGTGAGGCTGATTAAACAGTACACGATAGGTACCTAAAATTGTAGGTGGAGCACCAGCAAACTCTAAGTACTGTAAGAGTACCGACGACTCCGGCGCTAGTGGTCTGCTGCCTGCTTTGTATCAGATAAAAGCCCCCATCTTCCCCTCTCATCTTTGCACTTCCAACCTTCGAAGGTTTTCATCTCATTTTCATCGAATATAGATATATTCACCAGTGTCTGCTTCATTATGTCCGTCACTAATGTCCTAATGCGTCGGGGCACCGAGCTTGCTGTTACTCACATGCAGTCGGATAAGCCTGAGCAGCGGCCTAATGGAGGCTTGGTCGCTCTGTTTGCTATCACTGCTATCTTGATTGGTTTTGCTTTCTGGGCTGTAAGTAATACAATTTTCCAGATATAACCTCGTGGAACTAACACCCGACAGGTTGAGTATACCTACGGAATGGTGATCTCCACTCTGGCCGCAGTTGAAGATACCAACCCCGATATCTACGTGCACATTACTCCAGGTCCCGATCCCACCAAGCCAACCGACGAGGAAGATCCTGAGCTGGTTGACCCTACCCCCCTCAAGCCTATCACCAGCAAGCTGCGCACCACTGTGAAGCACCTGCGCTCCCGTGCTGGCTTCTGGTCTCGCTTCCGTGGAATGGGCATGTTCGTGGCCTACACCGCGGCCCGTGGATTCCTGTCATCTTTCATCCCTGTTCCTACCACTTCATATCTGGGCCAGTTTGTCGTTCAGTCTATCCTGAGCGTTCTGCTGGCTACTTGGCAGATGGCCTGGGTGCACATTGTCATCTCTGAGCCCTCCCCAAAGCGCTTCTACCAGCGTATCCCCAGCTATAAGACCTGGATTAAGATTGCCCCAGCTGCTGCTCTCCAGGATGTTCTCACCGCTGCTGCTTTCTTCATCCCCATGGCCATTGCCAATTTTGCTGGTTGGCTCGATGTTGCTGGTGACCAGGATGTCCCGCCTATGGTAGCCATCTACCGTTTTATGGGTGCCAGTGTAATTCCTGCTCTTCTGGCATTCCTGATCTCAATGCCTGCTCGTGTCATCTTCGTCCGCGTGGCTGCCTCCATGCTTCCCGAGGAGGATGAGACTATTGTGCCATTTGATCGCTCTTTCGGAGGCAAAGTCAGCCCTGCGATCACCGGTGGCAGTGGCAAGATCGGCCTCATGGATGCATGGACTACCTTCGACTGGGCTGCCCGTGTCCGCTTCGCCAAGGTTATTGGCAAGACATTTGCCATGGAGATGGCGCTTGGTATCTTCGCCACTCTGGTACTTGGTGTTCAGGTCTTTTGGATTGTCAAGACTGCCAAGCCCGTTGACTCAGATACTCCTGGGCTCCAAATAAGCTGGAAGTAAAAAAAACTATTGAGATCCGATGAATCTCAGGTGGTAGACCGTGAAGAATGCTGGGATGTGCGCGTACTTGATGCCTTTGCTATATCTATATTACTGGGAGAGATTGAAATGTTTGCCCCATGCGATAGTCTTTCAACTTATGAACTCCGAGATTCAAAAATCATTACATTCCTAAGGTCCTCAAATCTGGTCTGTACCTAATCGTAGCTGATTACGTGCCCATGGTGTATACCGCCTCCCCATTTAGGCCATTTAAACCCCGCTTTAGCCTTACCGCCTTCATTTCTTTTTGCGCCCCTCACCTTCTCCTCACCTTCTCCTCTTTGTCGTCCTCTTGACGTTGAAATCGGCTTCGGATATCGACTGAATTTCACATCTCCATCCTTCTGCTTTCTCTTCCCTGATTGTCAGCATGGCGACCTCTCCCGCCGGGCGCATGCTGTCCCGCCAACTGCAGCAGATGCAATCCGATAAGGACATCCCTGGCATTAGTTGCGGCTTGGTCGATAATAACGTTTTCGAATGGGAGGTTATGCTCATGATATCAGACGATGTGAAGCTGTATGGAGGTATGTCATGACTTTGTTATATCTATATTTGACGTCGAATTCCTGGGCTGGTGCTGTGGCAAACATAATGCCACCTAGGGATACACGTTATCCTACCGCAAAGTGTGTTGAAGAATACTAACAAGGTTGCTTGCATAGGTGGTTTCTTCCGGGCTCGGCTCTCTTTCCCAACTGAATACCCTCACCGGCCGCCCAAGATGAAGTTTGAATCTCCTATCTTCCATCCAAATAGTATGTGGTTCCTGTTGAATTATTCATCACAGACAATTCACTCACAAATTACTGCGATTGAATAGTTTATGAGAATGGCGACGTCTGCATTTCCATTCTGCACCCACCTGAGGAAGACAAATACGGATATGAGTCGGCTGCGGAACGCTGGTCTCCCGTGCAAACCCCCGAGACGATCCTACTGTCCGTCATTTCTATGCTTTCCAGCCCGAACGATGAAAGCCCAGCAAATGTGGAGGCTGCTCGGCTATGGCGTGAGGACCCCGCGGAGTTTAAGAAGCGCGTCCGTCGGTGTGTCCGTCTCACATTGGACGACTAGTACACGATTTACTTATTCACGGGCAATTTAAGAGGGCGGGTTATGATCTGATTTAACATGGGGTTGCCGGGGTTCTTTTTTTCTCTTTCTTATTCAATGTACCGTGGCGAGCGGTGGTGCTCTTCTTTGTTGCATAGAGCGAGCAATGCTTTGCCATGCTCTCGATCTCTGATTCCTTTGCGGTGCATTTGTTTGCGATTTTCATGAGGGCTGGAGTTTCATCCTGACATCTTTGTTTCACTGGTTTGGGATCAAATCTATTTCCCAGGAATCTTCAGAATTTTCGACCTAAATTCAGCACAAATGTAGAGTGGTGATTGATTCTTAGATATCCATTCATTACACCCTGATTAAGCAGAATCTATTCTGGCATAGGCAAACATGCTGGAAAGACAGGATCTAAAAGAACGCCAAGAGGACACGCAAAACTAAAAGGAAAGAAAGTGATTATGTGCGGTTCTTGGGCGCGAAGCGCAGTGACGGGAGGAAGATTCCGGGGTGGAAGACGGTCAAGGCCAGACAGGCCAGAGCAATCATCCTAATGGCACGTCAGATAGGATTCCCCAGAGCTTTGAAATGAACCAAGAGACCACTTACATTCCATCCAAGACAAGGAACTCATTCTCCTTCTGCATTAGTGGGTTTCCCCAGCCACCAGCCATCTCCGGGATACTAGATAGCGAAGTCAGTAAAGTGCTTTGTTTGGACTCAAACGTTGGCTCTTACCGATAAATGCACCGAATCAAGACTGTGAAATAGGCAAAGACCTCGGCGCCCACGACGAACGGCATCCACTTGGGAACAATTGGTGAAACATCGAGGTTCTTCTCACCCGAAAACCCATCACCGTGCTTGAAGACCCTCCAGAAGAAGACAACAGCAAAGAATCCACATACAACCATGGTCCCAACCTGGAAGGCGATACCAGCGATGATAATGTTGTCGCCTGCTTTGAGCATGTTAAAGTCGTTATTGCCAGCAGCCGCAGCGACACCACCTCCTGCAGCCTGTAAGATGAGAGATCCAATATCGCAACCGATGAAGATCCAGGTGAAAAGGCGCGGCTTTAAGATTGAGTGTTCGGGTCCCAAGCTCAAAATGATGTGCTTCAATGTCAGATAGACACCCGCGGCGACAAAGGTCGGTGCAAGCACCAGACACACGATCTGGAGCTTGAATGCAGGTCCGGACCATGGGTTATCATGCATGAGCACTCGGCCAATGTACCCGGCCATTTCCATAAATGTGCCAATGAGCAAAGCTGTCAAGAATGTCCATGTTCGGTAGTAGACGCCGAGACCGGTTTGGCATACTCCGAGCAGGCCAAAGAAGACTGTAAAGAAGATGTTTCCACCCAAACTGGGGTAATAACCGTATGTTGTGAGTTCAACGGGACATAGTGGGCTTACTTCAGAGCAAGTAGCGTAGCTCGCCATGTTGGGTGAGATATGTATAATCAAAAGGAAAGAGAGATGGAGCAGAGGAAGGAGAATAAAAGAGAGAGTCGGGTGAGAGGGCGTAAGTGGCAGTGAGATAACAAGACCAGAAAGAAAAAGGGTCTAGAGTCTCGCAACGGAGAAATCCCTGGTGAATTTGATATCAAATCATAAATTATCAACTTTCGGGCAGGTTAAGGCCAAGGGGCCGCAGCAACAACGGTTCTAGCAGGTGGAGCCCTAAATTGGATTAAACAGGATGAAACTGACTCCAAATGCATTGCTATTGGCTGTTTATTGCCGTCTAATCGCTCGTTCTCGCTCGTTCTCGTTCTCGTTCTCGTTGTCCCCACGTCGCTTACATCGGGATCCACTTGTTCTCTATAAGGCGCTTTGGTCCTGTCGGAGAATTATTGCTTTTTGGTCCGCGACATTTTTTTCCTTTCTAGAATCTATAGAATCTTGATGATGTCGATCGGGATTGAGTTCATAGTTTAGTTTCAAATCCTCTCTATGTTGTAGGGCTATCTTGGGGTGATCATGGAAGGCTGATGCCTAAGCCCTGGAGTGTATATTGGCTGACGTGGGGGCGAAGCAATTACCGCTCTTGGTAGTGTCATCATCAAATACGAATAATCTGACAAAGAAGTTGAAGGCAGAAATTGTAAAAAGACAAAATCATACTCCGTACAGAAGAGGGAAAAACAAGACAAGTCATGAACGGTTTTTTTTATAGTTCCAGTCCACGTGACCCCTCCGCATCATCTTCTTCTCTTCCGCGCTTGGACTCTTCCACATCTCGAAGGTTCCGAGCCAACCGGTTACATGGACCCTCAGGTACCGAGGTTTCCGAGATGCCTCCTCGCCGAGCGCATACAAAATCTCGCCAAGGCTGCGACCAGTGCAAAAGACGTCGCGTCAAGGTTAGTTTCGAAAGCCCAGGATGGCCCCATAGATTGCCCCGGGTTCCATTAAATGACGAGACTAACGGCCGCAGTGTGACGAAACGGGGCCACCGTGCTCCAATTGTATCTCGCGGGAACTTTCATGCACATATTTAAAAGCGCCGCCTCGGGCCGATTCACGAGCAAGCCAACCCCCGGCCCCGTTGGCTATTATAGACCCAACTCCCCTGCGGCCGAGGATACCTAGCCTAGCAGCTTCCGTTTCTTCAGCCATTTCAGGGGTGCGAGACCTGGAGCTTATGCATAAGTTTTCCACCGAAACCTTTAAGAGTCTTTGCTCTTCCGATTCGGAGTATTATGTCTGGCAAATTGCCATTCCTCGTCTAGCTCTTCAGTATGATTTTTTAATGAATGGCATTTTGGCCCTGGGGGCTCTTCATATTGCCGCCTCAATTGAGCCACCGGCATCGCTGGTGTACATTGACATCGCCCTCCAATATCACAATCTCACATTTGCGCCATATCGCGCAGCTGTTGACAGTATCAACCCACTGAACTGCGAGGCTGCGCTGGCGCAGTCCATCATCACCACCGTTATAGGTATTGCTCTACCAAGAGTCACTGCTGCCCGCGGGGAAAGTTCAAGCATAACAGAGAATATTGTCGTCGTATTTGAACTCTTGCAAGGCGTGACAAAAATCCACCGGATTGGTGCATCTTGGATCAAATTAGAGCTCTTTTCCCGTCGAAGAAACTATTGGGATACTGGATCAGTCAGTCTAGATGGCGACACGCGGGCTGCACTGGAGCGACTCGATACTTTGAATGACGAGACCCTCGCCAGTATTGACCCCGATCAGCACCAGGTCAACAAAGATGCTATTGTCTACTTGCGGCACTTCTCAACCAGAGTTGCTAATTCTGTTGACGCTGCCAACGTCCTGGCTTGGCTCGCTATGATCGACAAGGAATTCGTGGACAATGTGCGACGCCGACAGCCATTAGCATTGTTGATCCTCATGCACTGGGGTGTGCTGCTTGGGGAGCTTGATGGTCAGCGTTGGTGGGCTCGAGACTCGGGCCGGGCATTGGTCTCCGAATTATTAGATGCACTGCATCCCAGGGACATGGAATGGGCTAACGCTGTGGCTTGGCCCCGGAAAAAGATGGGGCTCTGATGTACTATACCATACCCGCTTCTTGGAATTTGCATAAGGAAAACAAATAGGAAAGAAGTCAGCCCCATAGATCAATATTAATAGGTTCTGTTTTATTGCTGTGTACTATAATCCTCAACTGGTTGGCTGGCACACCCAATCGCAGTTTAGATATAACCCTTCGCTCTTCCGAAGCATCGGTCGAAACTGAAGGGAGGAAATATCGTCCGAAAGCGAGATGGAGCTTCAGCAATAATTAGTTAACATAGTCACCGCGCCCTAACCATCCAGCTGCCATACAAACTTTGCCTAGACTAGGATATGAGATAGCACCCACCCGGAGATGAAAAGATACTACGGACCTGGTGAAAAATTCAACCGTACGGTGAATGACGTCGACTAAGCTGCAAAGCAGCTCACGACAGTTGCTATTGCCCATCGGTTGAGTGCTGTCCAGAATGTGGACCTCATCTGCTTCTCTAGGGGACGGTGTGGTCGTTGAACCTGGAACACACGCTAAGCTCATACGAAGGCGAGGACGTTATTTTGCAACGTTGAGTTTACAGAACCTAGAAAAGTGGATGTTAGCCTTTTGGCCTCAACTTTCTCCCAGTTCCTTTATTTATTTTTGGTCTTGATTAAGAATAAAACATTGGGCCCGCGTCGTGTCTATCTTTGAGTTGTTGGCTGCCGAGTCTCTTACAGTGGGTGCAAGAAACCCAGCTTATTTGAACCGACTACTACCTCCAAGCGAGGAAGCCCTTCTCTAGGATGAACAAAATAAAAGATTAATCGAAGTGTTATGATAGGCGTAGTATGGACTATACGAAGGTCATATTCGTCTCATCTCGAAAAACCACGAGGGTTACAAGTATTGTGGCCAGTCTGCAGCCTCCGGTCTCTCTGCAGCTCATTTCACATCCGCGCTTTCTCCTTTCCAGTCCCGAGGCCATCGTGAGTTCGTATCAAATTAAAAGCATCTGCCTCATGTTTGCACACCTGCATGCTCAATGGTCCGCTCACCTGTTTGAGCCAGTAGGACCGCCCGCAATCGAACAGCCAGTTGCGAGTACCTACTTGAATCAACTCAGCAAGAAAGCACTGCGGTGTGCTGTGATCTTCGGAGAAGATGATCTTTGGGAACTCTCGCTGGGCTGCAGGTGTGGCATTCTCCAGGCCCAGTCGGAAGACCTCATCGAAGGTAATCGGGTGATAGAGCTGGGAACCAACCTGGACAATGCCCGTCGTCCGTGCTGCCGCGTGCAATAGGCACGCGTTTGCTACGAGGTCCACGGGGATCTCGTCCAGGATATTGGTGCCTGTTTTATAGCCTTCCGTGGCATGCCAAACTTGTGTGGTACCACGATCGGAGAACCAGAGCCTGGTAAACTTGGTGAGAGGCGTGGAGTCCTCCGATCCATATAGCGAGTAGGGGTGCCTAAATGCAGGACCGAAGATTGTTGGCCGCAACAGTAGAATTGGAAGAAGAGGGAAACGACTGAGTAGTAGACGTTCCATGATATGTTTGGCTTGGGTGTAAGTAGACGAGAATTTGCCCGCGTGCGGCGATGTGCCCAGCGTCAACATGGATGCCAGCTCTTCCTCCGGATCTTCTTCACCTCCCAATTGATATATCCGCTCTAAAACTGGGCCATCGGGAAGATGACTATTGACATATGATGTAGAGAGCTGGATGAGGAGTTTCAGTCGCCGGAATTCAGAAGCAATCCGTGCCATTTCTAGCGCAGGGAGGCAATTGCTTTCCAGTGCATCACGAATAGGACCTTCAAGCTTGATCTTGGCTGCAGTATGAATGACCAGCGTAACTTGATCTTGAAGTTGTCGAAGGATAGTAGTTTCAATTCCAAAGTCCACCATTTTTATATCTCCAACCACAAACTCGACTTTCTTTGTGGATAAAATAGCTTGTGCATGATTTGGCATCGATTCTCTCAATTTTCCAATAGCGAGTTGGGAGTTCCCTCGAACCAAGACAAAAATCTTGCGAGTTGGCAGTTGCAAAGCTAGCTTGTACAGGAGACAACCTCCTAAGCACCCAGTACATCCGGTGAGGAAGACTGTATGGCCCTCGAATATCTTTGCATATCCTCCTCGCACGACTTCGTCGGCATATGGTTGTTTTTCGGTCGAAGCTGATGACATTGAATATGCTGAAAAAGAGATTCGGGGGTAGAGTTTAGTTGATATCTCTATAGGAGTATCTGTAGAAGAATGACACGAAGGATTGGGTGAGATTGCGATAGTCTCGGAAGGTATATAGAATGTCGTAACATATTTTGTTCAAATCTGGAAGTCGAATGGTTGGTAGGACAGGACTCAATGTCACTCTTACATTTGCACGGCCTTAGATGCTGGAGGTTATTTTTCTAGATTGCAGCCCGGCAAGTTGGCTAGTGGCCCCGATTTTGCCGACAAGGCTGGCAACCTCCAAGGAGATGGAACGGGGGTTTCGCTCTTGTCAGAATAACACAATAGGTAGACCTGGGCTTTCGCGCCATGTGCTGCCGAGGTTCAATGTGATTGTGTGACCCGAAGGACCATCGTGTCGCAATTCACAGAGATCTGGCCCAAGGGGCACCGGCAGAGCTGCACTCCATTTTTTTGAGAAATGTAGGGCTCGGAGCAAGGATATCCATACAGAACAGTCCATACCTGATAAACGGGTCGTACAATTTCACCCTTGAAGGGTTCAAAGATAGATTTCGCCTACATGTGATGCGAGAAAGAACTGGGTTTCGTAATTGAATCATTGAAATATATGCCTTCCACTTCCGATGAACGCCGTGGAGAAAACTATGTGCTGTTGATTGGTGTAATTCTTTGGCGAACGATCCAATCCTATCTGTACAAGAGAGATATAGACATCGGCCGGGGCAAAGCGATATTAAACGCACCGTAAATCCTGGCTCCCTTTTAAGAGTAGTTGATGATGGGATGAAACATAGTTATCACCAATTAAAAGCCCTTGCTTCCACCGCCACACCAGCAGCGCGCATCTCCGTCACGCTCAACCTGGACGAGAGTATCCATGTTTTTCTCTCGAAGGAAGTCAACGGTCCGTTGACGTACGTCTTCCAAATCTGCGCCCCGAGAAGCAATGACGTGGATCACCCCGAAAATGTTCTGGGATTTTTTCTCATGCGCATGATCGTGATCGTGATCGTGATCGTGATCGTGGCCATTGTCATGGGTGTGACCGTGGTTGTGGTCGTGGTGCTGCTCATGATCATGACCATGACCATGACCATGATGGTGTTGGCTGTGGCTATGATCATGGTGATGTTCACAATCCCCATGGCTGGAATGGTCATGGGAATGGCTATGTCCAGAAGACACCGCTCCTGTATCATCAAGCCAGAATTTAGGCACCGTATAACTAACCACGCCTCTCAAAGTGCTGACTCCTGCTAGTGTTTCCCGAAGGTTATATTCGGTGTCGGCTGGCAGAGTGAGTAGCAGTGTCTTTGCCGTGCTGCTAACTAAAGGAACGGCCGAGGCGAAGATCAATATGGCGATGAAACATGATGCCAATGGGTCGTAGCCAGCCCAACCGGAGTAATGCACGAGAATGGTTGAAATGACGACTGCCACTGAACCAAGCGTATCAGCAAGAATGTGCAAGAAGATGCCGTGCATGTTCTCATTGCCATGAGAATGATCGTGACCATGATCATGGCCGTGATGAGCATGACCGTGCTCGAAGCTGAAGATTCCGACCAAATTGACTGCGAGGCCAGCAATGCTGACGATCAATAGCTCGCCTAGACGATGCATCTCACTCCCCGATGAGAGCCGTTCCACCGCTTCGTAAATGATCTCCACGCTGATAATCCTGCATACTGTTAGAATTTGCTCTTAGCACCGCTTTGACAACACTCACATGAGGAAAATTCCATTGGCAAACCCTGACAGAGTATCAACTTTGCCATAACCGTAGGGGAATCGAGCGTTCGGGGGCCACTTGCTCATAACAGCGGCACATAAACCAACAACAAGCGCGAGACAATCGAAAAACATGTGAATACTGTCACTGAGCAGTCCCAGTGATCCAGTCAGGAACCCATATGATAATTGAACAAGCATAAAAGTGAAATTCAGGCTGCAAGGTGTTAGTAATTCAACATTGACCGCTTTTAGATTTCATTACTCACCACATAAAGTAGAAGATGCTACGAGAATCCTTCTCCTTGAGAATGCTGTGCAACAACGGGTATGGTTCGCTTTTATGAAGAAGCCACTTTGATACTCGGGAGGATTCCGAGGTAGTGTGTGAATGTGAATGGCTGTGCGTGTGGTTATGCGCATGCGTATCCAGATTCAAATGAATGTCATCTCTTCGAGAGGCGAAGAAAGAGGCCGTAGCCAAGATACCACGTGTGGCATAAATCATGAGCAAGTCATCCTGGGCATGTGGGGAACAAAGAAAAGCTGCAGCTCCGGCGCAAATGGCGAGTCCGGTCTTTTTGGGAGAGCGGAGGCTGGGGGGCAGGGAAATCATGAGAGAAGTAGCAAAAATACCCGTAGGAATAAGGAGATATATCAGTTCCGAGACCCCGAAGACAAGTCCTCGGTTGAAAAGTATGGTGAGAAGTGCAAGCGAGGACCCAGTTATAATGGCCAGTGGTGCATCGGTTGTGACGACAATGGAGGAGTGGCTCGGGCGTGAAGCCTTGCTCTGTGCAGCAACGAGACCTGGCTCAGGGATAGGTCCATTGTGACGGAGGAAAGGGAATGGGGGAGGTGCAACGAAAACAGATCCTAATAGGGCGGCATATCCAATGGCTGGAGATACGTCCCAAGAATGGTTCAGCCCAAGGAAACTCGATATAATAACCACCACTAGCAGGGAAATGGATAGGGTCTTTCGACTGTATTTCTCTTGAGTGCGCGAGGCCCCGTTGATGACGGCTGGGACCCCTGATGCTGTTGCAAGGAGCAGCGCAAATGCAACCAAAAAACCTCCGACCTTGAGTGCTGCAAATATGGGCAGCGCCACTGAGACAATTTGTGAAAGTGAGGCTTGGACACTCTTCACATCTAGTTTCGGCAAATTAACAGACGAGAGCATGGATGAGCCAGCCTTTTGGTGGTTGGTGCGTAGTATTTGACCACAGCCGAAGAGGGTGAGGGTGATCGCTGTCAAAAGGCAGGTCTTTTGACCAATTTGTCCGATAGAAATATTCGCTGTCGTATCAGGTATACCTTCGCCGGATAGTTTTTGGTTTTGGGCATATTGTCTCTGGTACCAAGAAAGCACAACCCACGGCAGCACGATGAGTGTACTAGTCAAAATCTCGTGGCTGCGATTACGGTCAGCTTTTACTCGTCAACCACACTCTAGTCCACATACATCTTCTCTGAACTATAGTCTGCCTGTATAGTGGTATCCGTAGATAATATTCCATGAACGCCATTGGAATCTTTCAAATGGTGGTCATCTAGCACATCATGGTGAAGAGATGACACACTATGGTTATGATCGTGGTGTGCACCGGAGTGTGAGTGTGAGTGCGTATGGTGACCGTGGCTTGATGCTTGATGTGTATGTCCATATGAATAACTCGAGTTCACAACATTGATTGGTTCCGGGTGTTCAGGAAGGGTGGCATCAGCTGGCTGTGAGAGGGGAGGCGGAGGTTGCGCCCAGCGGTTGGATCGATGGCCACGACTGCGACTATGACCATGATTATGATTGTGTCCATTGGAGGGTGGTGTGAGATCCACGCTCAGCGACGGTGCCCCCGTCGACATGATCTTCAGATGCTGACGATGCGCAGCAGCTGGAAAGACCAGCAAACAGGATAGGAGATGGGGCACTGCCAAGATATCGAGGGTGGAGCGGGCGAGAGCTCAGATTAGCGAGCAGGTTGTCAGCAGATACAGCATTGCGGAATAGCACTGGAAGAAAATAAAGGAAAGTAATATAATTGGGGGAAAGTGAGCGCCAGTACAGGCTCAAACAGATTGCGACTCCGGGGAAAAGCCCGTCTTCCCCAAGGTTCTCATAAGGGGAATCACGTGAAGCCTTATCAGATTACGTATCAAATGTTTCGACGGGACCGCGGCCGCCTTCAAAACATTGAACTGTTGATATTGATATTCCACCTGCTATTTAGCTGTCTAAGGGCCATTGATGTGATTGGAAGCTCATAAATACCATGAGCGAAATACTTGAAGTGCCATTGCCATCATGATCGAGACCCTTATCAGCATAGTGTTCTGCCTGTCTAGTGCCCTCACTGTGTTGATCCTGTTACTTCCCTCGCAATATCAGCCAGAACAAGCAGGATCTCCTCCAAGATCCCATGACACAAAAAGGCGCAAGACATGTGTTCAAATCCTTGTTCTTGGCGACATTGGCCGAAGCCCACGCATGCAGTATCATGCATTGAGCATTGCGAAACATGGCGGGGAGGTGGTAATTATTGGGTATAATGGTTAGTATAAACCTCTTGACAGAGACTGTATGATAGGATCGCTAACTACAATTTATGAAACAGAATCTGACCCTCATCCTGATATCATATCCAACCCCCACATCTCGATTGTTCCGATTCGCCCGCATCCCGCTCTCCTACAGACCAGTAACAAGCTGCTGTTTACAATTTATGGGCCTTTGAAGGTGTTATTCCAGGTTGCTTGTCTCTGGAAGTGTCTCGCATATACCACAAAACCGTCGCGGTGGCTTTTGGTTCAGGTATGTTTGTGAAAAGGAGGCTCCCCGATACTCATTTGAAGTGCTGACTCGCTCTTGCAACAATAAAAAGAACCCGCCTTCCATTCCTACACTGGCAATAGCCTCCCTTGTTTGTTTCTTGCGGCAAACAAGGCTGATCATTGATTGGCATAATTTTGGATATTCCATACTAGCGTTGAAACTCGGCCAGACCCATCCATTGGTGAAAATGTCAATATGGTATGAGAAGGTATTTTGCAAATCAGCTTCAGCTCATTTTTGCGTCACCAATGCTATGGCATCCGTTCTCAAGAAGGATTTCAACCTTCCAGCCCCTATCCTGCCACTGCACGACCGCCCTGCCATTCACTTCCATCCTATCCTTGATCCCAATGCACGGACGAATTTCCTCACAACTCTACCGGAAACTAAAGAATTTCATTCTTCTTTGAAAGCAGGGTCCCTCCGGGTTCTGGTCAGTTCAACGTCATGGACTGCGGATGAGGATTTCTCGGTCCTCATCGATGCCCTTCTTCGGTACTCTGGACTGGCCACCACAGTGCAGCCTCACCTCCCCGAGGTTTTGGCCATCATAACAGGGAAGGGCCCACAAAAAGATATGTACTTGGAACAGATTGCCGCTCTTGAAAAGTCCAGCAAGCTACAGAAAGTCACAATTCGAACTGCGTGGCTGAGTGTACCAGAATATGCTCGGCTATTGGCATCCGCATCTCTAGGAGTCAGTCTGCATACTAGCAGCAGTGGGGTAGATCTCCCCATGAAGGTTGTAGATATGTTCGGGGCTGGTCTTCCTGTTGTTGGATGGGATCGTTTCGAAGCATGGCCCGAGCTGGTCACTGAGGGTGTCAATGGGTTGGGCTTTGGAAGCTCGGAGGAGTTAGCTGAGCACTTGGTCGACCTGTTCGGTGAGAACGACAAATTGGAGAGTCTTCGCCTAGGCGCCCAAAAAGAAAGCTCTCGGCGATGGGACGACGAATGGAATCCTATTGCTGGGTCCCTTATGGGGCTGACGTAGGTAGCTAGCTCTCTGCAATGACATGAATATGATTATCCGTTAGAGTCGTTATGTGGCATTATCATATTAAATTTTCAGGCTAATATCTTGTCCTTTTTGCAGCGGCTAGCCATTATCATTGTAGATCCTATTCGAGGACATCTAGTAACTGGCCTGGAATTTGGCTGCGCAGTGCAAGCAGATATCAAAAGTCTCAAAGAGAGCATCGAATGTTCGACCTTGTTTCCCCCCACGCATGCATGCCACGCGTTCTTCATCGAGGGCTTCTTTGCGACAGACAAAGCAATACTTGGATATCCCAGGTCCTTGAATGGCAAGGAAGGACAATCCACACCGTTCTATACGAACGAAAAAGGTCAACATATCACGAACAAATTCAAACCATAAGGTGACTTACCCCAAAGATGGCCATTGGCGCACTGAGCCAACTTGGCCGAGGGCCACCCAATTCCCGCATCACAAACTTCGCACTTTTCGTAAATATGACCGCCTGGGCCAGTGACTTGATCCATAGCCCTCGCAGATATCGGGGCGGGATTGCCGTTGCATTTGGAAATCTCATCGCTCAGGTCCGCGCCTGTTACTACTGCTAGACGCTCTAGAGACCGCCGAGTGTGAAGTCGAAGTGACTTGTCCTCTTCACCCACAATAGCACGACAGGCCACAGCATAAATCAAGCGCTGGCTCTCCGTGTCAGGTTCAATGTTGCCATCCTCACCAGGTAGCACGAAACGCATCACTTCTCCTGTCTGGTTGTGATCGGAGGTTTGACCATCAGGGACGCGCGCCGCAAATAGGGTTTGGGTGTTTGCCGTAGGTTCACCCTCCTCTGAAAAGACAATCATAGATCTGTCGTCAGAGGTGATGCGATACTCAATCATGTCCGTGGGATGTGAAGTGAAGATAGCCGCAGTCATGTTGCGATAGGCTGCGAGTCCCCAGATCCTCGAGACTGACATTCCTCCCAAGTCGTGCTCCAAGTCATAGTCATCCTGGAACTCTTCGATCATGCGTTTCCATTTTGGCTGTTGTAGAGCACTGTCATTTTGGAGTTGATGCAGTTCTGTAACTAAGCCAATTCCGCCGAGTGTACCTAGGTGGAGCTTGCATGTGTCGTTTTGTTCATTCATGGAAGTGAGCATTGCTATAGCGGGTCAGCAGTGCTAAAAAGGCCTCACAGATATTGCATAACATACCAGAAATCGGCTCCAGGTGCCTTGCTTGGTGGCCCTTGTTGTCTTCGGTTTCTGGCTCATAGATCGGGCAATCACGGAATTCAAAGGCATCAGAATTGGTAACGATACCCGTGTACGTATCGTAGGGCATGGATATGACGATGAAAGCCGCCATGGCGCCCACTACCAGGGCAATGGTCGTGGATGATCTCTGTTAGGTTTTTATTAGCGAAACGGCTTGTTTTAGTATAGATGTAAGAAATCGAGCGTACGGCATGGAGCCATCTAAGAGGGCCAGCGATGTTGTGATATGCCCATTTCTCATTCAACTGGTCCAAAGGATGCTCTATCAAATCTGTGACTAACGTGTACTGTTGTGAGGTATCCCCGAGCGAGCTTCCGAGAGTGACTTCGAGTTTCATTAGCCGAAGCTGCGTTCCGCATACCGCAGCTATCATGGTGACTGCGCAGCCAAAGTTGCCGGGGCTCGTCGCGGGTGAGGTCAGCCACGGACCACAGGAAAGCGCAGTAGTACGTTGTCTCTCTTTGATTGCCTTCTCAAAGAGTGATCCAGAGCAGAATAGACTGCCCTTGGTTTCCGGGTTCTTTAGAGAGTGAAGCGCCAGAATCTGAAGATCGTAAGGCTTGAAAGGGCTATTCGTTGGGTCTGATCTGCGGACCCGCACCGGCATGACTTCATTGAAATCGTTCACCACCATTAGCAGTGGGATTCCCCAGCGACTTTCGTGCGAATGTAGAAAGGAAGAGCCTGCGGGAGGCGTTGAAGGCTTCAAAGACTCGCACCAAGTGAAAGATCGAATGTTGACCTTCCGAAAGCCATGGCTATTTGGGTCATGTGATGGCTGCAGCTGTGACCAAAATACATGATTGACGACAGCAACCCTGGTCCATTGCTTCTTAAGGCCAATGGGCTCCCAGAGGGACAGTACCAGATTCGACGTCAGCACGGCCAGGACACTACGTCGATATTTGCCTAGTCCTGCTGGTGACCAAGCCAGATCCACCACATTGCTTTCTGAAAGGTCTGCGGCGACCGAAAAATCATCTCGATTTCCCGGAAGGTAGTTGGGCCATTCTGAGTCCGTAAACAAGTTGGCTCTAACACGAGCCATGAGCCAATCTTGGGTTGAGTTGGGGGCGGAATCCTCATCCCTGCTATTTTTTGGTGTCTGTTAAAATGTTAGTTATATTCAAGTTCATCAGATAACTAGATGCATACCAGGATTTGGAAGTATTCACCCGCAGCGATAGCAATCTCGCCGTCCGGGGACCAAGAAATCGCGTCATGGCAAGATGGAGATAATGATAGGGCCACAGGGTTCAACATTGTGTCAGATATTGGATCCTTGATATGCCAGCATTCTTTGTAAATAAAGGGTTCGCTAGATATAATATGAAGATATGAAGAAGAGAAGTCAGAGATCTGCTTTTGTTTGGGTCGCATTCTGCTGGGTTGATTCCTGAGGAATCAGGCGCCAACCACAAAAGACCCTAACTAACTAACTAACTAACTAACTAAGAATACTTGAAGGATCACTTCAAAGTTGCAAAACGGGCAATTAGCAAGAATGAAGACATGAAGATACTGAAGATGACACAGAACAGGGATATAAAGATGTATTAACGGTTTTATGGAGATATCTAATAGATCCAAGGGAGAAAAGAGAAGAAAAAAGAGCGAGGGAGCGATGCATAGATATATGTTGTACTATGTCCATATAGAAGGGCCCGGAAAGAAACACGCGAAGAGTTTATATATAAAAGAGCCCGGAAAGCACCAGGTAAGCAAATAGGATTTTGGCCAATCTGCCATTCCAAATCGCAGGAAAAGGTACACGTCCCCGCTACACGGGATGATATCCAAGCTTGGATTGTTCATTTGAGGGTATCAGTCATAACTTGCCACCGAGGACACTGCACAATTTTTGGCGAAGTTAATCCACCCGATCCAATCTTTGCACAACCATCGCAGTCGCAGCACCGCCACCGTTGCAGATCGCAGCCACTCCATACTCGCCGGGCTGCAATTGGTGGAGCAAGGTGACGAGGATACGCGAGCCTGAGCTGCCGAGAGCGTGGCCGAGAGAGATGGCGCCCCCGAGCATGTTGACTTTAGCGTTTTGCAAACCGAGAATCTAGATGAGTTAGATCTGAGGTGGAAGTTAGACAAACACGGCACTGACCTTTTCATTGGCTTTGATGACAGCCGCAAAAGCCTCGTTGAATTCCCATACCGCCACCTGATCCTTGGTGATACCGGCACGCTCCAGCGCAATCGGAACTGCTTTGGCAGGGGCCACTGGGAAGTCTACAGGGTCGATGGCGGCATCGGCCGTAGAAACGATACGGGCCAAGACACGGCTGCCAACACCATATTCACGAGCAATATCCTTGCTGCCCAAAATCAGAGCAGATGCTCCGTCGTTCATGGTAGATGCGTTGCCAGCGGTTACGGTACCAGTCCCATCTCGTAGGAAGGCGGGTTTCAGGCTCTTCAACTTATCGGCACGCAAGTTTTCGAAGCCCTCATCCCGCTCGACAACGGTATCTCCTTTCTTACCTTTCACAGTAACCGCGGCAATTTCATCGGCGAACTTGTTCTCCTTCCATGCCTGCTGGGCCCGCTCATATGACTGGATGGCATATAAATCCTGGTCCTCCCGCGAGATGTCGTAATTCTTCGCAGTCTGTTCTGCGCAGATGCCCATGTGGAACTTGTTGTAAACATCCCATAGACCATCCTTGATGAGACCATCCTCTAGCTTGATCTCACCAAAGGGGGGCAATTGGCTGGCACGTGCCATATAATAGGGGACCCGAGTCATGTTCTCCATACCACCAGCTACCTGTGCCTCTGCCAAGCCAAGTTGAATATTTTGCGCGGCAAGTGCCACAGCCTTCAAGCCCGAAGCGCAGACCTTGTTGATTGTTGTAGCTTCGACAGTGGAAGGGAGACCGGCAAAGATAGACGCCTGACGGGCAGGCGCCTGGCCTACTGAGCCCTGCAAAACATTTCCCATATACACATCCGTGATCTTCTCAACAGGTACCTTGGATTTATCTAGGGCGGATTTGATTGCAACAGCGCCAAGCTCAGGTGCTGATACGGACGCAAAAGAACCATTGAACTGGCCAACTGGAAGTTAGTGAATCACTCCTCTGAACATTTCTCCAAAGAAACACACCTTTGCTGTTGGTGTTCGAGATGCACTTAGAATGTAAGCTTCCTGAATCTCCTTGCATGTCGGGCGTGCGGAGCTGAACTGTCGCTGGGCGCGGAATGCGGGGAAGGCCCGTTTGGGGAGACGAGCAGACAGGCCTGGGGAAATCATGATTTGTTTTAATATAAGGGTGAGTAGTGAGTTGACAGTGTTGAAGAATACAAGGGGTATGAAAAGGGGAGAATTAAAAACGAAGAGCTGAGGAATGCTGTTGCATGTGCATATCGAAATTCATCCGCCCGTATAACCGCCTATAACCGCCACTCCGCTTGAACCGAGGCTCTCCAAACTTGGAAGGCGGTCGCCCTGGCTATGACATAATAAGTGCTGAGTCAAGAGCCCACGGGCCGGAGCTCTCTGGATTTTGATCTAGCCCCTTTAGGTTGGTTTCTCCATTAGGATATTTTCTCCGGCTTTCCCCTCCATCGCTTTGCTGCATATCGCCTACCGCATCAATGACCTTTCGGGTTTACTCTCCTTCCCCTCTCCTCTTTTTTTCCTTCTCCCCTGACCGTCTCTGCAAATTCCTGCTATCTAGCTACATACACACAGCTTTAGCAGACTAGTTCAATTACTTTACGGCTCCACCGATCGTTCTATCATGTCTACATCCGCTCGCCGCCGTCTCATGCGGGACTTCAAGGTACGCGTCAATATCATCACCTCGCCTTGGGTTATTCAAACGTTTCCGCTGTATCCATAAATAAGCTCATCTAAAGCTATTCTTATGTTTCTTTGGTGCCCGATTTGCTTCTTAGATTCTTCCCCGGCGTTCTGTGTCCAAGATGATTCGCCCCCGCTAACATTTCCATACTCACAGCGCATGCAAACCGATCCTCCAGCTGGCGTCTCTGCATCTCCAGTCGCTGATAATGTCATGACATGGTACGTTTCTTTCTCAGTATCCTTTGAGGCTCTTGACAATGGTTCTGATGAATTGTCAGGAATGCCGTCATTATCGGCCCCGCCGACACGCCGTTCGAAGATGGCACATTCCGCCTGGTCATGAACTTCGAAGAACAATACCCCAACAAGCCCCCGGGTGTGAAATTCATAAGCCAAATGTTCCATCCCAATGTGTATGGAACTGGCGAGCTCTGTCTCGATATTCTGCAGAACCGCTGGAGTCCGACATATGATGTGGCGGCTATTCTTACTAGTATTCAAAGGTACGGCCGGCTTGGTTATGAAAGATCACTGCACAGATGCTAATGTGCGGTTTGTCAATTCTAGTCTTTTGAATGACCCTAACACCTCGTCTCCGGCCAACGTCGAGGCCTCGAATCTCTACAAAGACAATCGCAAAGAGTACACCAAGCGAGTGCGAGAGACGGTCGAGAAAAGCTGGGAGGACAATTGAGCAATCGGATTTACGCAGCCGAGTTCGATGGGCTAATATTCTTGTGAATTGAACACAACAGCTTGACGGTTTAATCTGCACAGCATGGGGTTTCTGGCGCTTGGTATCTTGTTCTTTCGGTTTGTGGATTCTTTTCCTGCCTCTTTTTTTTTACGTCATTTTCTTTTCGTTTCATCTTTCATCTTTCTTGATATCTCTACTTCATGGTTCTTCATCCTTCGCCAGGTCATGTCAGGCGAGTTTACAAGATCAGTCTCAGTATTCAGTGCATTAGCCTGCATTTCCTGCAAACCTTGTGCTTTGATCCCTTGACATGTTCATTGTAGACAATATAAATGGAGATGCAAGTAAAGTTTAATCATATGCTTCCTTGTATAGTTCTCTATACATTAAGCTTATCTGCAGGGTGGTTTGCATATCCCGAGTCCGGGGGCGGTAAGCCCAAACGGGGTGACTGTCAACAGTTGAAATCCCACTCTTTCGCGTCAACCCCCTCCCCTGCAAAGTCCCGCTGTAGGTCCTCTTGGTTTGGCCGTCCTTTCTTTGCGGCCTGACTGCTGCTTTATCTTTTCCTTCATTTCTTGAGCGTTTTGGTCCACGGTGCACGTGGACCCCCTGATCCTCAAACCCCCTCCTCCGAGCCACTACACCGCAACAGACGAGTTCCCATTTGAAACGCCTCTGACGAACTCCGCGGCCCACCTACCCCTTCTCGGGGTCTATCTTCTAGCTTGCGCGTGTCATAGCCAAGTCATACTCTACAAATATGGCGTGAGTATACGCTCGGCCTCATCGTGCGTTATCCATCACTAATATGGTCCCACAGGTCCGCGGGGTCGAACACCATCAAGGGTACGCACAGACTGGCACAATAAACCAAGGCGCGCGTTTTACTGGGATTTAGACTGATTGGACATATATAGTCGTTGCTAGGTTCCGTCCGCAAAACAAGATCGAATTGTCATCGGGGGGTAACCCCATCGTCGAATTCGAGAATGAAGAGTCATGTAGCATCAACGTGAGTTCGAACTGAAGCCAGAACCCATAGGGCTATACTGACAAATATTCTAGTCTCGAGAGGGCACAGGGGCCTTCACGTTTGATCGAGTGTTCCCTATGGACACCGCGCAAAGCGACATCTTCGACTTCTCTATCCGACCGACTGTGGACGATATTCTAAATGGATATAACGGAACAGTTTTTGCCTATGGTCAGACTGGTGCTGGAAAATCATATACGATGATGGGTTCCGACATCGATGATGACATAGGGAAAGGTATCATTCCACGCATGATCGAGCAAATCTTCGCCAGCATCCTGACTAGCCCGAGCAACATCGAGTACACCGTAAGGGTCAGCTATATGGAAATTTACATGGAGCGGATCCGTGATTTACTCGTACCCCAAAACGACAACTTACCAGTTCACGAGGAGAAAGCTCGCGGAGTTTACGTTAAAGGATTGCTGGAAGTCTATGTATCCAGCGTGCAGGAGGTCTACGAAGTTATGCGCCGGGGAGGAGCAGCACGCGCCGTCGCTGCAACCAACATGAACCAGGAATCGTCTCGCTCCCACTCCATCTTCGTTATCACCGTCACCCAGAAGAATGTCGAGACCGGGTCCGCCAAGAGTGGTCAATTGTTTTTGGTTGATTTGGCTGGTAGCGAAAAGGTCGGAAAGACAGGCGCAAGTGGCCAGACTCTGGAGGAGGCTAAGAAGATCAACAAGAGTTTGAGTGCGCTAGGA